CCCCCCCAAAAAACCGACCGATCCGGGAACGCCTGAAAAGGAGGCTACCGGAGAAAGTCTGCGCCGGAGGCTACCACTCCCAAGTTTAGGGTTTAGATCATGTCGTGTGACGCAGAGATCAGTACGGAGATACACCGGCCGCGTAGGAAGCGGTGTGGGGGCGTGTACAGGGAAAACTCAAGTTCTAGTGAACGAACTCACTCACTCCGTCCAGCTCGCTCGGAATCTTCCCACAACTTTGGCAAGTTCTCTCCACAACTCTGTAGATCTGTTGTCAGCAGCAGCGGCTGTTTAACGTAAGTCACGTGCGATCTTCCACCACTTCCTTTTCCATGATTACGGTTCCATAGTGAGAGTTTATATTTGTGTACTATACTCATCCTTTTTCCTCAAACAGTGGCCTATTATAACAAAACGTAGTTTCCTTTGCCGTATTGTTTTGGCGGTCAGTAGTGTGTGTGTATATATATATTCTTAATATAATTTGTAGTTATTTGCCTCCATGAGATGTTTCAGACGTTTCCCAGCATTATAGAGCCATTTAAACTTCTCTCCATTATATTATTATAGCTCCCGAATCCTACATCCTCTCCGCAAATCGGCTGTAGGACTCGGGAGCTGTAATAGGTTTGGTAACCAGGGTATCGTGTTAGCCCAACATTCTGAAATACAGAGTCGTTTGTAGCTCTAGTGGAAAGAGATTGTTAGTCTCAGCGTGGCCACCGTAACAACCAACTGTTTACACCCCCAGTCCACTTTCCTTTAACCCCACTTGGCCTCCCGTCGTCTCCCTTTATTGTTGCCTTTCTATACACCTGACCATATCGGTTACACTCAGGATTATGTTACTATCACATCTCGTTTTACGTCGTTTAAGGCGCGGTCGCGTAAACTCGGGCGACTCGTATGTTTCCTACCATCAAACATCGTGTACAACCTTTAAGGATGCTTGGAAGATGAGCGAGTGAGTGAGACGTTGTGAGTTTGTTGTGAAAAAAACCCCTGAAAATCTCGCCGCAGAGCCGTTTAGAGGAAGTCTTTCCCGACCTTGAGCAAGAACAAGATGGCGGCCTCACTGCGACAGGTGTTTGCGATGACGTTGCTCCTTCAGGTGATCTCACTAGAGGCGACAGGTAAGCTTTTAGAATCTTTACATAACACCAGGTGTGAAATGTTAACGTTGTGCGGAATAGCTGTGAGCTAGAACGTTATACAAAAGGTAAAAACGTTTTTGGTTGAAAACTAGAGCCGTGAAAAACAGGGGTATCATGTTTCCGCAGTACAATGTAGCATCATAAACATACACGCTGAGGAGGTCTTCAACTTGTAACGATTTAAACACGCATTTCAAGTGTCAACTTCTAAAAGTATACTGTATAGGTGAAGGGAAACGTAACTACTTCTGTTTGTAGCACGTAAAATGTGTTTGGCCGAAACCTAAAACCTGAAAAACAGGAGTATCCTATTTCCACAGTAGTCACCGCACCCTTTCCTCAAGTTGTCACGATTTACTAATTGTGACTCTCCATTGGCAAGACCTAAAAAAAAGTCTCCGTTGGTAGCACGTAATTAAATAAAAAACAAAAGAATCTTGGTTGAAACTAAAGAATTGATCATGAAAAGCAGATCTAGAGGGATCGTGTTACACAATAAACACACACATGCACTCTGAACAGGTTTTTCCAGTTTTTTTTTTACTTGTAGCGCTTTAAGAATCTCAAATGTAAACATCCTAAGATGTAATTTGTATTCTTAATGTAAAATTTTTCTCTGGTGCTACATAAAAGTATGCTTGGCTGGAAATTAAAGCATTAAAAACAGGGATATCGTGTTACAATAGCACAGCAAACGTGTACAGCCGACATATGTGGCCTTAGTTGTCCAAGCTTTGGTCACAAATTATAAAGTTTTTATACAATCTAGTACCTAAAGTCTTGGCTAACCGTAGAAAGCAGTACTATAGAAGTTGCCACACATTTTATGATCTTTTATGAGTATTCTCGAAATGTGTGCCTTAGCGTAGTTTTTTCGTCTTTCAGTTGGAAAAGTTGAAGAAAGCGAGTTAAGAGACAGAAATTTGTTTTCAGTTTTCCCACTTTTCACAAGTTGTACCTGTAACCTGGACGCGCGGACAGTCACCTGCACCTGGGACCGAGACCCGAGCGATGGGAACGAGACGACATACACTGTTGCATATTGGGAAGATAAGTGAGTATTGTTAAATACATCCAGAACCGTGCTTTATCCAGACCCTTGCTCAAACACGATTCTGGATAGTCCACACGTATCCAGAACCATGCTTTATCCAGAACCACGGCTCTGGATAGTCCACGCGTATCCAGAACTGTACACGGGGCAAATCTACGTTCTTGCATACACGGAGACTATCCAGAACTGTGCCTGATCCTAACCCTAACCGATACAGGCATTGCAATTGTTTTTGTTCTGTAGTAAATTATTTCATTCGTAGCTAGAACGACGCAGGTCAAATTTTTTATACCCTCCTATATAGTTGATTTAAATATTGTTGATGGACATATCAGTACATGTACTTAACATAATAGCGACAGCTTTGTCATGTGTTGCAACAACAAAGTAATGATTTTATTATGCTAAATATAAGAAGCATCGCTTAATTATAGACAACTAGAACTGATGACCTTAAATGACCCGTTGCTGCAGGGGGCCGGAACAAAAGTGTGACGTCACAGATCATGGCGAAACGTCTTCTTGTACCTTCAAACCTTCAAGTCTGTACGTCGGACACGAGGTGGTTCTGACCAGAACGGATGGCGACACTGGACTGAGCGCTCGTTCGTTCCCATGGAATATAACTCCGTACCTAAGTGGTAGGCAACCTAAGTGGTATCTAACTTTACTGATTTATTAATGTATACCAAACAACTTTTTATGTTTACCGAAGGAAAACATAATGTTTTTTCTCAGTTTCTTCCTCTTCTTCTCCAAACAGTGACCTCTGACCTGACCAATGACATGATTTGTTGACGTCTGTCACCATGATGACTGGTGTAGGGTTACATAATGTTGCAATTTCATGGTCTGCTCTGCTCCTGTCACCATATACTAGTAGTACATGTATGTGAATATGTTTGAGTAAGAATTAACAGAGCAGACCATGTCTGAAGGTAAACATTATGCATTTGCTTTGCAAATGTTATTTCTCTAGTCTGTTGTTGTTTTTTAATCATCACAGAGTGAGCCGATGTTGCTCACTGCAGCAGCGTCTCTTTTCCCTAAGTCAGAGACAGTATGCGTAGTGAAACATTCACTGACTTCATTGACTCAATAGGCGAGGCACTGGTTCGTTTTAACACACATATCAATGCACTATGAACTGTTAAACTATCAAAGCTGGTATTTCTTAATCTCATACATGTAGATGCATACGGTGGCAAGGCAGTATCCATGTTCCTGCTAAAGGAGTGTGCATTAGCTAATGCTCACTATTCTGGCCATTATGATCTGCTTGGAGATTAATTTTTGTCATTTCACGAAATGAAGCCATGCCATTACCCTCCACAGTAAAGCCGAACGCCCCGAGTCTGACTGCTACCGCAGAGGGGTCACGCCAGGTCACGCTGCGGTGGGAGTCCTCCATCCCTCCCGCCTTCCGGACTGTGGTAGACGAGTCGGGTTGTGAGTTCCAGTACCGGGATAGGCGAAATGCAACCTGGAGGGTAAGAGCTTTTTGTTTGTGTGTGTGTGTGTGTGTGTGTGTGTGTGTGTGTGTGTGCGTGCGTGTGTGTGCGTGCGTGCGTGTGTGTGTGCATGCTTGCGTGCGTGTGTGTGTTTATCTGTGTCTGTAGGCACAGGAATTATGGTTCAGAGTCGGTGTTTCAGTATAAAAGCAGATCCAGTTGTCATATGAATCAGATCCTATACCATGACTTGGAACTTCTCCTTTGTCTTTAAGAAACCGGAGGATGCGGGAAGACAGAAAAGCTTCACCCTGCGCGGCCTGCGTCCCGGGACGGAGTACGCCGTCCGGATCCGCTGTGAGGCTGAGTACTGGGGGGAGTACGGAGAGCCGGTATACGTCAGGACATGGGAGGAGGGTAGGTAGATTTCACACAACAGACGTGAGAAGAGATTGTACTGTCAAGAGTCTTCTGAATGACAATATTTAATAGGACTCGCTGTTTTTTAAACTACAGTACTCGAGAAAGTACAATGGCCAAGTGGGTAGTGTGCTCACCTTGCATTCAGTAGGTCGTGAGTTCGATCCCCGGCCGAGTCATACCAAAGACTGACAGAGAACTACTTTCTCCGCTTATCACTCGGCATTTGGGAAAGAGTCTGGGAGTTAAACACACGCTACTACTAGTGGACTAGTGCCCGCTGTACTGGTTGCATAACTAAGTGGCCCAAGGGCTACGAAACGGAGATGGGCGCCGCCATGCTAATGGTTGCGACAGGGCTTTAACTTAAACTTAAACTTTAACTGAGAAAATTCACCTCCTCATGGTATTCACAGCTCCAGGCCAGGGACCAAGAGTGGTAGAAGCCAAATTAACGCCAGACACTGACAAAGACGGTCTCGCTGATGCTACTATTTCTTGGGAGGTGAGATGTCTTTCCTTTACAAGCTTGATACTTGTGGATCCTCAGAAACCAACATATAGACTTGTTGTCCAATTCTAGTTTGGTGTCGGATATTTGCATGATTTTTATCTATTTTTTTAAGTTCCACATCACGTTATTTCTGTCTATATTGCAGAAAATCCCCCTGGAGGACCAAAACGGCCCCATCCTCCACTACAAGCTGAACCTAACGGAAGGAGGTGGCGTCACAAGAAGTGTTTCAGTGGACGCCAACACCACTAAACACACGTTCAGAGACCTCGCGGTGGGACAGGCGTACCAGGGTGTGCTTTGGGCCGTCAACGCTGCTGGGCAGTCCCCATCTGTCCCATACAGCATCGATATCACCAGTCCACGTAAATATAAAGCCATATTGTGGTATCCATTGCTGTGCCTATATCTAGTTCTATGCCTGACTGGGATAGTGTTTGTCTTTAAAATTCGTAAAACGCATTTTCTACTTTATAACAACTGACAATCAGTGCCCTAGCTATAACGTAGCCATTCTTGTTTGTTATTACAGGAGTACAACCACCTGTACATTCACCAGCCCCTGGATTCATAGGTAGGCATAAATGCGCAGTTACACATTTTGTCATCCAACCTTTAACTTAAATCGCATCTCTAGTAAACCAAGTGTATTTTTTTGTCCAGATAGAAGACACATGAACTCCACAGTATCCTACCTTTGAACTTTGATCCATGAAACTCTTTGAACATTGATCTATGAAAGACCTTTGAACTTTGATCTATGAAACACTTTTAAACTTTGATCTATGAAACACCTTTGAACTTTGATCTATGAAACCCTTTGAACTTTGATCTATGAAACACCTTTGAACTTTGATCTATGAAACACCTTTGAACTTTGATCTATGAAACACCTTTGAACTTTGATCTATGAAACACCTTTGAACTTTGATCTATGAAACACCTTTGAACTTTGATCTATGAAACACCTTTGAACTTTGATCTATGAAACACCTTTGAACTTTGATCTATGAAACACCTTTGAACTTTGAACAGGTTCTACGACGATGACCGTTGTTCTCGCTTCCGTCCTTGGGGGGCTGTTGCTGCTCAGTCTGGTCATTTTCTGCAATCGACGGGCGATCGGAAAACGGTTAGTACCACCTTTCTTGTATTTCGTTCCTTTTCTTTTAAATTCCAACATGCCACCACCATCCAATGCCACCACCAACGCAACACAGGGGACAATGCAGTACCCATTTTCACCTGAGCGAAGTGACTTCGGAACGTCGTGTAAAGTGCCTTTCCCAAGGGCACAAGATCGGTGGCATGTCAGGACTCGAACCTGGGACCTCTTGGTTCCGAGTCGAGCACTCTGAAGCTACGCCACACGACCCCATACATTTTTTCGTTCCTTTATGCCCGGTGTACCATTCATGATGTCAAATTCACCCTCATTTTTTTTAACCGTTTCTGTTTCGGACTGGAGGTTTTAATCTCCAAAAGCGAGCTACTTTTCTTGAACTTGAACCCGCTCGAAAAGTCACTTTTGTTTCATTCAGACTCAAAACTGCACTCTTAGTCCTGTAATTAATGTTCCACTGACTGTATCCGTCTTGTCACAGCTTCAAGATGGCGAAGGACCATCTTTGGCCGAGGATTCCCCGCCCAGAGAACTTCTTGGTGAGTACGAGCCACAATGTTTTTAGACACCATGGTTTAAAAGAGCCTCTCTTTTGAAAGCCACCATTTGTGGTAACAATTTCTAATATAGAAAATAAAAATTTCTAATATAAGAACGTGATTTGAATGAGGAAGTAATCTCCAAACAGATCCCTTTCGGTGGCAAGACAGTAACTTTATCATAATGACAACTCTACTGACTACTCTAGTCCAATGGACACTGCCTTGCCACCATTATATGATCTGCTTGGATATAATAAGGAAGAAACTCACTTTTTTTCTCCCTCCAGGCGCCTCCGACTGCTGACGAAGACTACCAGTACGTGGATGACGTGCACGTTCGTTTCGTCTACCTCCCACCGGAACCGGAAATAGTGGACGACTTCGAGGAGGAGCGGAGGCGGCTGCTGGCACTGCCTCTCCCCGACGGGCCGCTAGAGGGCGCCTCTGACGGAACGATCGCGGCGGGACAGGCAAGCCGCCCCGTCTCCACGGCAACGGACGACGCAGACCGATCGGGCCGTGACGCCCGTTGCCATGGTAGCAGCGAAGAGGTCGCGGGCATGCCCCCTGTGGCTAAGGCTATTTGGGTCAACGTGAACAATGAATACGTGAATAATGACGCCGTTCCCATGACAACCGAGGGAGACAAGGCCAAGTCCACCCTGAACTACATACGGGTGGAAGATTCAAGTCGTTACGTCGCCAAGGCAACGGGAGGCACCCCAGGGGTCAGTTCTGGAGACGGTATGGCGGGGTCACAGGTCATGCCCAGCTACGTGCAGGTGGGCCATCAGAGCTGTCCCGTCGTTGCCATGGCAACGGAGGGCGACCAGACGGCTTCCGAACTGGCGGTCAACTCCAACGCGGAGACGGCCCCCCGCGAAGATGGCAGTGCGGGGTCGCAGGTCATCCCGAACTATGTGCAGACGGACCATCAGGGCTATCCCGTTACCATGGCAACAGAGGGAGACCAGGCGACTACCCCCCGCAAAGAGGGAAGCGCGGGGTCGCAGGCCATCCAGGGCTACGTGCAGGTGGACCAGGTGACGCAACCCGTTACCATGGCAACAGAGGGCGACAAGGCCGCTACTTCTGAACTGGCGGTCCGCCCTGACGCGATGGAGACGACCCCCCGCAAAGACGCCAGTGCGGGGTCGCAGGCCATCCCAAGCTACGTGCAGGTGGACCATCAGGGCTGCCCCGTTACCATGGCAACGCATTCCGTTCCCATGGCAACGGAAGTCGCCACACCCGAAACGGAGACGCCTGGCCGCAAAGGGTCAAAGGTCATTCGGGAGAACGGTGGCCAGATCCAGCATCAAGCCATCCCGTATGTCACCATGGCAACGGAGGGTGTGGGTGGGGTTTCCTTGGGCGCCGGTGCACCGAAGATTCCACAACCCGGAAAAGTCCGGCGCGCAGGAGAACTGACCGTCTGTCAAGGCACGAACAGCTACGTACAGATCCAGAATAGTTCAAGTTCATGAAAAACAAAGACTCGTGTACAAGTTTGCACATAAAGGTTGCACAGAACCTTGTTCAAGTACATTAAGGTTGTCCAGATTCTTGTTCAAGTTCAAAAAGGTTGCTAAGACTCTTGTTCAATGCCACATAGGTTACCTCCAAAGGGCATATTCAGTTTGAGGCAACAGAACTAGGGAAACTTACCGGGATATCGGTACAATGGCCATATATATATATATATATATATATATATCAAGGACTACAAACATGTATATAATGTCCTTGTGTACATACTGTACAAAACCTTTGTGCATAAATTACTGTACATAGCATTTTACCTTTCTGTAAGGACCTGCAAAATAGAGACCTCATGCAAATGTTTGATACATTTTGTAAAATGCATTGTGTACATGAATGTACCTGGATGTCTAGCCTTCAGCAACATATCAAAGCCATAGTAACCCAGTGTTACGCAACATCGTTGTTAATACTAGCATAAAGCTTGTAAGGGATGAGTACAAAATTTGGAAAAATTTCAGATCTTCTGGCATTGCCATTAAGACCCATTGGGTTGTCTCACGTTTTCTGAACGACTTTGCTTGAAGGGTTTGTGAATTGTTAAACATTGTGTTCATGTATGATAGTATGAATTGCCAGTTGGAGATTATATGCTCGTGCATTTCAATTTTGTGCATCAAAATGTTTTCATACCTCGTCTGTGTTGTTGTACACATCCTAACACATCACACAATGAGGCCCAAACCTATACCATTTCTTCCCGAGCGCAAAAGCTACCTGACATAAAAAAATCAGCACCAAAGCACACCCAGAACAGATAATACAAAACCCGGAAATAGTAGGATTAACTGACCAAGATTTTTGATCCAGAAAAAAATAGTATCTCAAGAAACAGTAACATTATTCAGGAGTTCAGTCCCTGTATAGAAGAAAACACAGGTCAGAAACACGTCTTCACATATCTTTACTCCATTATTCAAAGGCCAGAAATACATAACATGTCACAACTTATACAAGATTTACATAATTTTAACATTTTTCTGCATATTTTCAGCACATCTGGAAGTCACTCCCAGAGGTACCAGTGTAACTTTATTTTACATATCGAACACAAGATTTAGCGACTTTCCAATGTTAATTGGCATTTGGCCCGACGTATTTCTATCAAAGACACAATCACTACTTAAACCTAACTCTGTGCCTTTCTTGATAGAAATTGTTTCTTGTTTACAAAATACTGTGTTTTTACCATAAGAGGATTGTGTGTACTGGGAGTGTGGTTATGGCATGTCTGTAACACATTAGTTACTACTATGGCTGTGTATATAAAGCATTCCCCATGTTTCTAACTATACGTAATGTGGACCCGTTCTGTAATGTTAGCAAGTAGTACCTTGTTCTTTAAAAAAAAGGCCTTAAAAATGTTGTTTCCGATTATCCAACTTACCAAACCCTCACTACAGTTTGTGAAGCAGCAATGAGAATCACTGCCTATATGTTTATAACTATAGTAAAACATGTACAAGTGACCACCTCTGCATTAGGACCACCTGGCCAATGTGACCACCTTTTGGTAGTCACTGTTTGATAGATACAGGTAAATTTTTCCCCATTGACACAAGCATTAAGAATCCCACATAATCTATAGTAACCACCTGTCAATATATTATTAGTACACTGAGTGGTCTTCTTGAGCAGTTCTGACTGTAAGTGTATTCTGTTTATAGGTGGTCATTTCTCCAGATAAGCCAGAACTAAAAAATAATTTTGCTCAACTCTAAGTCATGTTCCAAAGTGTACATCGAAGTTTTCTGGATTAGACTCTTTGAAAGGCAGATATTACAACATTTTACTTACAGTTGTTATTGATTCACAGGCCTTAAAACAAGGCCACATCAATTTTCTTCCTTGGCTCTTTCAAAAGTTAAAAGTAAAAATTCATCACCAATATAGGTCAAGATGAGAACTCAAGGCTAGTAGGAAAACTTGAATCTGACTATATCCACTCCCTGAAGCTGTGTGTACCGAGATAAAGGATTTCCCCCTAAGACTCCAGTTCATGTTAATCTTTAAGTTCTTCACTATTTTCTTAATCTAAGAACCAAGAAACAAAATTGGTGCGGCCAAACAAGATATCCTACACATTTCTGTACACAAGTTACATTGTGAATGTACAGGACTGACATACATGTACATGGCGTCACTCTAAAAAAGCTACCAGTTTTGCAAGCCTCTGGACAGTAGACCACTTCTTGTTCCTTTAGATTCCCCAAGTTTGTCCCAAAACAAGCCCCACAATTCTTTCCACCAGTTTCTCCCATCACCCCTTTTTGGCGACACCCCAATTGAATTTTTTTTCCTGTATATTCTACTACATGTACAAGACCTGACTGAAATCATTGACAGGTTTCTGAATAAATTTTATATTGTCTTGCACTTAATATACATACACAGCTGTGGCCTCAAGGTCATCAAAATAGTTTGACCTTATTAGTTCTAAAACAAAGGTGAAAGGTCACAGACCTTCTTGTTCCACAGCTTGCTGGTGCAGGGGTCATGTCAAAGGTCAATGGCATCAAATGACCTTTTTCCTTAAAGCACAGAGTAGAAATATTTTATACCATAACCCTCAAAGACCAAAAGCTACAGTGTCTCCTAGCCTATCTAATGCAGACAATATTCAGGACCAAGGAGGTTAGTTGAGTTAGTGAAAGTCACTATATGGTTGGGGACATTTTGTAAAAGAAGAAAAAAGAAAACTGTAAACAAATTAGCACCTTAGCTGAAGCAACATGCAACTAGATATCAGGATTTGTGTGGGAGTGTCTGTGTGTGTGTGGGGGGGGAGGCAGAAAAAGTAAGCTTTTGAACAGTCAATCCCAATTCTGAGAACCTGAAAGTCAAAATGGTATGGCCAAATTGTCATCACTAACCAGGGCTCCAAGTTCCAACCCGTAACCTGAAATTTGTGGAAAACAATTTTCATATTGCAGGTAGAAATGTGAACAACTTTTGCTATTTTGCAGTCCTGATTATGCACAATAATCTTGCTATGCTGGAGCATACAGAAGCCTGGGTTGCTAGTATGTAGCTATTATGCAGGAAGATAGTAAAGGCTTCATCTGTCTGAAAACGCTGTACTTAAGGCAGGGCCAGCAGCTTGAGTACTTGCAGAAAATTCTCCCGAATCGCAGGCTAAAATCCCGACAACTTGCAGTGTTTCAGGAAAAAGAGACCAAGAATTTTGAGCCTTGCCAACGCAACCAACCTCCCCCTGCCTGCATGGCACTTGCCTTAGTCTGTCCCATTGTTATGACTTGAATCACCCCCCTCCCCACTCGCAAAGAACGCTATAGAATCGCTCACGCCGGATGCCCCCGCTATTCTGGGACTGACTTTCTCCACCGCGCTGCCGCTCGCGGAATCATCCAGTCCTTTAACGCGGCCCGATCTCGGGCTTGCATTTTCACTTCTCTGTTTGTTTGAGTCCTGGCAGGAAGACTGCACTTCTGTGCTTGGGGCGTCCACACCACCTTTTCTGCCCGCCCCAGAGTCACTCGCGGACGCTATCGGTCCTTTTTCGGTGTCCGTTTCCACCCCAGCATTGCTATTGCCTTCGTCGCTCGCTGCTGCAACAACCGTCTCCGTGGAAACCGTTCCCGTAGCAACTGTTTCCATGGCAACGTTCTCCCCTCCTCCTTCTCTGTTGTCTGTATCCGTGGGAACGGCGGGTGCGACCCTGCGCGGAACGCGCGGCGGGAGGTCGTCCTCCGACAGAAGGTCCATCTCCACCAGCGTGTCCAGAACCTCCGTGATGTTGCTGGTGTCGTTGCCATGGCTACCATCGATGTCCTCCCACTCCTCCTCGTCCTCCCCGCCCGAGATGTTGCTGTCCGTTGCCATGCCGACGCCCCCGGGCTGGCCGTTGGGCGCTCCGGGTGTTGGTTGCTGGTTGTTGTTGGGCTGCGAGGCGGCGGTGGCGTTGTTGGGGTTGTTGTGGCCGCCGGTGTTGTTGTTGTTTATGTTGACGGGGTTGTTGACGTTGATGGCGTTGTGGTTGTTGAGCAGCATGGTGTGGATCCGAGCCTGCTGCAGGATCACAGGCAGCTCGTAGTGGTGGAAGAAGTAGATCATCGAATGCTGCGGAAGGAAGAAAAAAACACAAGATTTACTTCAAAAGTGGTTTTATCAAAATTGATTCTTAATTACAGACAGCTCATAGTGGTGGAAATAAAAAGATGCTGTGGAAATGAAGGAAAAAATTACATTAATTACTAAAAGTTCATCACAAATGCAAAAAATTAGTTCAGTATCTGATACAATCATCAAAATTGGAACAGGTGTATCGAAGTACAAATGTATATGGCAAAGATTAGTCTTGACTCTCTGTCATTTCTGACTGAGTCTATAGTCTAGTATAGATGCTGTTTCAGTCTTATTCATGAAACCCACAGTTTATCTAGTAGAGACAAAAACTCTTGAGAAGGCTTGTTGACTTTCATTTTGTTGATGTTGATTTTTCACATAAAATCTGTTTTAGTGCCCACCCATATGAACCCACCTGGATGAAGAGCCATGATGTGACCAGTGCCAGGCCGCTGTACTGACCGTTGAAGCGATAATGGTACGCATAGAAGGCAAAATGGTACAGGTAGAAGAACCTGCAACACAGAGACACGGATTAAGGCATAATACATCAGAATAAGAAAGGATGTTTTATTTATTTATCTATTCATCTTAACAACATACGGGTAGTCTCTTCAGCCCCGAGGGGCTGATTTCCAAGAGAGCCCATAATAAATAAACAAGAATATAATGCAAACAAGAATACAGAAAAGATAATATAACATACATTAAATTAACATAAATTAAGCACAACAGTCGGTCAGTGGTCTTTGGAGGGCCAGAGGTCAAATTCCGATGTAAAAGTAGTTTTTAAATGATTGTTAGTTGCTTTTATCCGGGGGCTACTTACAAGTACACACTTCTTCTTCTTGAGGAATACTGTGCAACACCCTTCTGTTGGGGTAAGGAGGGAATGCACTGCACTCTTATTGTTTCCTCAGGTGCAAGAGTACGGCTTCCCTGAAGTTGTCAGGCTCTGCAATTTGTGTTATAACCTGAAGAAGTGCGTTCCAGTCCCGCGCATGCACGCACGCGCACACATACACACACACACACACACCCTTGTACACCCCAGTACCTGAGCCAGTGGCGTTTGCTGATGTTGGTGTGACAGCAGATGGCATCGTACTGATCTGCCACCCACACCATCAGGATGATGTAGAACGCTGTTGTCGTGTCGTTAAAGAACTCAGACATGATCGCTTCCATTCCTGGAACAAACAGGCCACAAACAAGTCAGGGAAGGAAAACTGATCATTGGAAGTGTCTCTGGAAACTTTTTCTGGTTGCTTGTGGACCAGACCAATAGTTTGCATGGCCTTGCCAAAAGTAAATGAGGAGAGCAGAAGTGCTGGTGATGTTCATCACCCTGGTAACACATCACCATGGCAACACATCACCATGGCAACACATCACCATGGTAATAGATAGAGTTTGTGGTGCCTTACCGACGAGAGCCAGGATGACGGTGAGCAGAGGGGCTGCTGGGAAGGCGATGGTCACGTTCATCTCCAGCATCTGCAGCAGGTCCACTGGGGGGAGGGGGGGGCGTTAGTTCTGTTGTCATGGCAACACGACTGGTGACTTTTTCTAGCTTGGTGTCTGACTATATCAAGATTCTTGCAGCCCTCCCACTAGTCAGGTTCCTACAAGCTTGAGTTTTCTAAGTCAGGAAAATCAGAAACATATTCCTGTCCATCATGGTCTGATTTTGATATCATAGCGATGGCCTAATACATGTATAAGTATTTCTGGGAATGACTCTCAAGAAGAAGGCCCAATCAGCCTCAAAAAGGAGAGACTATTGTGCAGCAGAAGCTAACACTTGTACACCTTAACAGAAAAGTCCACATTGTGTGATATTTAAATCTGACTCACCGATGAAGACAAAGATTTGATGATGGGAATATCTCAGCAGCATGGACACAGAAATGGTCTGCAGGGAAGAAACAAAAAAATGTTACAGCAGCTTTCCTTTTCGTGGCACAGTTTAGAAATTAAGATGGTGAACAACTATGTTTATTGTTCTTACATTTACTAGTCTCTAAAAGTCAGTACCTTGCTACACACAGTTTCAGGCAGAGAATATATACAAGTGTATTCTCCCTCCAAAGTCAAAGTTTTTGACTTGTGTTCTTGCTAAATTTCACACTTTATGGTGTCTGCGAATTTTGTCTGACCCTGACCTCTTTCCTCACAACATCAACAAGAAACAGCCAGAAGCTAAATGCAAGTCTTTGATGATGGAAAAGAGCCTCAAACAAACAACCAAAAAGCAAATATATATTTTTGTGCGATCTAAATACTTACAAACATGAACATGACGAAAGCAGCGGCGATGTAGGATGTGCGAGCCATCCACATGCTGACAAAGCGGTAGTGTTCCCCTGACACTACGTTCCGCAGGTAACCTGCATGGAAGAAATAAAGCCCTGCAACATTCAGTTGACAAGCCTGTCGGGGAGACAAGGCAGCTGCATACTAATGAAATTCAATTTCGTTGGTAGAACTACTAGAAGTCATTGTAAACCTAACAAGAGCTCACCATATTTTTTCTGCATACCTTCAAAATTAACAGACAAGTTTTACTTGCAACAGACAAGTTTTACCTACATCACCCATTTTCAGGAGACAAGGCATCTGAATCTGGCTAAAAGTTCACCTTTGTTGGTAGAACCACTGAAACTACAAGTCATTGAAAACAAGCGCTCGACATTCTTTTCTCTACATACTGGCACTGGTGCAAATAACATTGAAAATTACCAGCACCAAACAAATTTTACCTGCACCACTCAGAATTTTAGAAGAAAAGACTGACATTCTGAGTGTGCAACACCTTTGCCATGTTTCTTCAACTAGTATTTTGTTAATTTTTCTTAATTTTCCTCTCAGTGCATCTACCTTTTTGTTTTCATCCAAATTGCAATTCCCATGTGTCCAACTAGGAGGCGTGGCTGACCTACCTTTGTTGTCCTCGTGCTCAGCCAGCCCCTTGATGCTGGACATCAGGATGTCGTCATAGCCCAGGAACTCCTCCAGCAGGAACCGGCTGAACGAGTCGCCAAAACACTCGTCCTTCGTCGGGTCTGGAAAGGAAAAAATTATCAATGGAACAAATCCCAATAAATCTTGATCTAGTTTAACAAACCTACATGTAGTCTTGGTCAGTAGGTACATATGTACAGTACTGGTTGCTTTTTTGGAAATAGGAAGAAGTGATAGTCCCCTAGCAGCCTTCTTTATAACTGCAGGTACTTGATTTGTACTGGCTTACATGTATGCTAAGTACCTGTTGCAAGTTCTGCTATTTTGTAAGGGCATTGTCTTGCATTCCAAATGCCCTCAACTGATGAGCAATGTTCATGCACATAATAATCGCTAACAGGCCGTCTGACTTTGCCATTTCTTCTTCATAAAACATGGTTGCAGAACTCATATTTTCCTAAATAATTTCACAGGTAAAGGTACAGGTACAAGGTTCAAAGCCCCGAGCAGAGAAGTGCATCTCCTTACCCAGTGTGACGACCATGATGGGGATGTTGAGTCTCTGTCTGGTCTGAGGAGACAGCCGGAGGAATCCGTACTCCAGGGAGTATTCCACGATATACTCGTCACTAGGCCATACTGGGAATAAAAGGAGATACAATGTATAGCTGGTTATACAGTCAAAACTGAGAAGAAGACTTAGGGAACTGATAAACTCCAGTCTATGTGGACAGGTGGTCACTATAGACAGGACTCTTCATGCTTGCATCAACAATAGTCTAAGGGACTACCAGTACCAGAAGTGGTCACAATAGCCAGGTAGTCCTTATGTAGTCACTTCAACGACACTTGTACAGGTTTGACTGTATATCAATGGCCAGATCGTCCTTATGAGTTATGTAGAGGTTGTCACTAGTAGATTTCACTGTGTATTTGTGATACATGTACCATGTCCATGTATGTGTATGGTTACATATCTATGGATTCCTTACAATTATATGTTTATGGATTTGTTAGTACTTTAATTATGTAGGTTGTATCTTGTTACATTGCCAGAAAAAAAACACACAAACAAACAAACAAACCCACAGACCTGCTTCCTTGAACATGTCGAACTCGGAGACAGTTTCGCGGACCTTCTGTAGTCCCTTCTGTGGCACGGGACTGTCGTCTCCCCGCAGGAACTCTACTGCACTCATGGACAGGTTCTCAAAATTCTCATTCAGGCCCTGGCAGGAACAAAATAGAAGTCATTAATTATGGTGAAGATTAATTGTATTAAATATTTGAACAATATCTCTTCTATTCATCAGAAGTACTAGCCCAATACAGATGTCTTCTTCTGATTCTTCAATGTTGGAAATACTGGATGCACCCAAAACTGAAGATGTGTGCCTAGCTTTTACTGTGGGGCCATCCGGTAAACTAATAGATATTTGTGTAGGTTAACATACTTACACTTGTAAAGGTACTGTTGTACACTAGTATACAGCATTCTTCACATTTTTAAAAGTGTCAGACAAATAATGAAACCTTGTTATTAATCTAGACGTTAGCTATAGAATTTTAGATTCAAGTTCTCAAGAGAGACATTAAGGTTCGTACATGTAATTAGCTTTTACTGACATTCTATTATGACTGTGTATATTTCATTCATGTTGTGCAACCACATTTTTTTCTGTGCACTTAAATTCTAAAGCTAGGTGCACCTATTCCCAGAAGCAAATTTCAACCCTGATATTGTGACATTAATATGAAACAAACACAACATCTCTGCATACCTGTATGGTGGCATTAGGGAAGGGCACCTCCATCCCGGGTATCCCTGACTCTGACTCATAGTCATACAGGAACAGCGGGGGTCGGGTGGAGTTACGCTGGATCTCGACCCGCAGGATCCCGTCCCGCGGCCATTCCTTCTGCACATGGTCCAGACACGTGATCGGGGTCCGGGAGAATGCGATGTGTATGTACACCAGGATGAACAGGACCACCAGGGCCTGCGGGAAAAATAAGATGTTGGTGATTTTGAAGTATTTGGGGGTTTAAGACGTATGTGGATGTATTAGAACTGTGGACAGGCTTGTATGGTGTAATAAAAGTGATCACAATTTTGTTTACATCATATAAGTGAAAATTATTTCAGACATATGCAATTATCTGTAGGCAAATCACTCCACAGTCTGTCACTCGCTTTCTGCCTACCGATGTCCTGATATCATGGAGATTGCTTGTATTGCATTGCTGTACTTTAGGACTACGTGTACAAGTAGCATAGCATAGGTTTTTACACCTCTCTTCTTGGGAACAAACCAAAGACATCCAGTGGGTTTTTACATGTAGTGTACATTCAATATTTCTGTGACTGTGTAGATCAGTCACCTTCTTCAGGGCAACAATGAAACCGATTAGAACACTATTAGTACTTGATAAGACACCAGCCCCTACTTACAGAAGAATTCACCTGCACAAACAAACTCCAGACTATCTCCATATAATTAGCAGAAACAAACAAACAAACAAGCAATCATGGATCCCAATGTACCTTCAGCAGCACGAGGAACTCAAAGACCCTCCTGACAGGTTTGGGGAAGGCTCGAGCGTAGGTAATCGCGACCTTGAAGAACAGGGCATGGAACAGCCGGTCTCGCACGTTCCCCAGGTGGTTCTGGTTGTTGTTGATGTTCCGCTCCTGGTTCATCCTGACATACCTGAAGGAAACACAACTTTCTTAAGAAAACCTACAACTTTCTTATAAGAAAACACAACTTTCTTAAGAAAACACCTGGTTATGCACATTCCCCAGGTGGTTCTGGTTGTTGTTGATGTTCCTCTCCTGGTTCATTCTGACACACCTGAAGGAACACACAACTTTCTTAAGAAAACCTACAACTTTCTTAAGAAAACAGCTGGTCCCGCACGTTCCCCAGGTGTTTCTGGTTATTATTGATGTTTCTCTCCTGGTTCATCCTGACACACCTGAAGGAAACACAACTTTCTTAAGGAAACAAAACAACTTTCTTAAGAAAACAGCCAGTTTCTCATGTTCCCCAGTTGGTTCTGGTTGTTGTTAATGTTACGCTCCTGGTTCATCCTGACACAGCTGACGGAAAACACAACTTTCTTAAGAAAATGAAGGTCTTGGAGGTTAAGCTAGCCAACATCAACTTGCTGATGATTCTGCTACACTGTAGTATTTGGGCTGTAGAATTTTGGACCATCGCACACCGGGGCATGCTCCTACTCTTTTTCGAAAGGTGTGATGGGATCTTTAACGTGCTTGGGGTGTGGCTCTCCTCAAACACGGGACCTCCAGTTTACATCCTATCCGAGGGACAACCCTAACCGAAGCTAGGTACTTATTTACACCGAGTGAAGTGAGGAAAATCGTGTAAAGTGCCTTTCACAAGGGCACAAGATTGGTGACATGGGTGGGGATCGAACCCTGGACCTCTAGGTCCCGAGCCAAACGCGCTACTGCTGCGCCACACGACCCCACCATGTTCTAAGGCTATGTGTCGTTTAGATTTGTAATAATTTACATGTACATTGTACTAGTATAACCAGCTGCTGCCATGCCAAATCTGTGAGCCTGGTGTGTTACGCTGAAATTGAAGAGCTGTTATACCGGATATACAGATGTCTATGAAGATGTCTGTGATCATTATAAAGAAATCTAGTACCTAAAAATAAAAAATTTGGAGAAAAAAATCCATTAACTTAAGTTTACATGCACATAATTTTACATGCACAGCACATCCCAAATGGAAGCTGCTACATATATATGATAATACTTATTATTAATAGAAATTTTCTTCACAATTTATTCGAGAAACAAAACTACAAGGTATCTTGGGTCCTTTGGAAATGAATAAATCAACATACGTAAATAATCTGTAGTGTTTTTGTTTCACACTACATGTAGTTTCATTTCCACACGCAGCATGCGAATCTTTTTGGTGTGAAACCTTACTCTCCAAGCAGAGGTTGTGGGGAAAGATCGTTACCTTTTTATATATGGCGTTTTTTTTTGTCCTGATCCCCGTCGGTGGCCGCGGAGCTTCTCTGGCTAATGGATACTGCCTGGCCAATTTGATACTGTCTTTTTGCCACCGAGAGGGATCTGCTTGGAGATTATGAAACTTGGGATCAAAATCTAATTAACCAGGCGAAATAGCGGGCATATGGCAGCCAAAAGGCTCGAATTCTCTCTAAAATATCATCAATTTCTGCATACAAACCTTTGTTATCGCCTTTAATCTGACTTCTTCCGTCGTTGTTGTTCCAGTTGTCTCTCTGCTTTCTAGAATTTTTTAGGCAAAACAAGGCTGGCCCTCGCAGATCGATCGGCAAAATCTCGCGTTGATTCCGGATTTTGGTTGCATCAAAACCCCTCCAAAGCGGGCCCGTTTCCTCTGCTATGTGCCCGAGTCCATGTTTACGGGGCACTAGGGCAGCCACGTGGTTTGAAAGGTCCAAAACAAGACAAAAATTGAGAGAAACGTCCTAGCCCACTTTTCTCTCGCTACGTTCCACCATCGGCAGCCATTTTGGTGACGTATTTGAGAGACGGACGAAAGTATTGCAAAATATAGGGTATAAGTTTTTTTTAGCTAGGAGTTTTATAATATCTAAAACCTTCATATATCTTTTATCAAATTTACTCCATAGATAAATGTTAAAAATTTATAGTAGATTGAAAACTGTTTGTATTGTTTTTTGTCACCTATATGCCAAATATTCATGTAAAAATACTTCTTATATAGGTATCCCCCTCAGAAATAATAGACTATTCTATCACGTTCCCAGAACTTATTTTTCCAAATAATCGCCACGCAGAAAATAGATTCGATATAATAAATCCCTCGTTCATAATAATTTTAGTTAAAAGTATGATCATGATAGTTATGATATCTCTATTTGTAGATTATATTGTTTGGAAAGATATGCTTCCAAACAGGAAATGATCTCGTTCCCAGAACAGCGTGCGATGTCACTGGCACGACCCGGAAGTGAAACGTTGAGAAAACGACCGGGAAAAATCGTCTGGTAAATCGTCTTCGTCTTTCTTTGCGACTCTCGACTGAAAAGTTTACAAACTGTGACTGCTAAGTTGATGAAAGCGAAAGTATGAGTTCCACGGCGAGCACGACAGAGGAAGAAAGCGTTCTTCCAGACACCACGGTCAGTGAAAGTGCTCGGAGTGAAAGTGATGAGGTCGTCTCCACACAGGAGGAGGAAGAGAAGGAGGAGGAGGAGAAGAAAGACCCCCCACGAGATGAGGTAGGAGTGGATCTTCCTTTAAACTTCATACAGTAATTCCTGCACTCATTCTTTCACTCACTCACTCACTCACTCACTCCCTCGCTCACTCACTCACTCACTCACTCACTTTCATTCACTCACTCACACTCACTCACTCACTCACTCACTTACTCTCACTCACTCACTCACTCACACTCACTCACTCACTCACCCACTCACTCACTCTTTCATTCCCTCACTCACTCTCTCACTCACTCACTCTCTCACTCACTCACTCACTCACTCACTCACTCCCTCGCTCACTCACTCACTCACTCACTCACTTTCATTCCCTCACTCCCTCACTCACTCACTCTCTCACTCACTCACACACTCACTCACTCACTCACTCACTCACTCACTCACTCACTCACTCACTCTTTCATTCCCTCAGTCCAATCTCTACAGACCCCCTATGGTGAGACTGAAGAGTTGAACTCGCTGGCCAGCACTGTCCAGTTCGCAGGACTCACTCACTCACTCATAGACTCATTCATTCAATCACTCCCTCCTGTTCTGTGCAGGTGCCCTATATGCACGGTGAGAATGAGGAGCTGAACTCATTGGTCATCACAGTGTCCTTCACTCACTCAGTCATTCACTTACTCTTGTTCTCCCCAGACCCCCCACACTGAGAATGAGGAGCTGAACTCCCTAGCCAGCACTGTGTCAAGTTCGCAGGACTCTCAGGACAGCAGCGACGGAACCATCCACGTCCTGCTGCCCAAGGTCAACTGTCCTGAGAAAATCGTAAGTATTTGTACTCATCTCTTATCTATTCATTCATTCACTCACTCAATATTCTTTTAGTCCTTTTTGTATCATCCAGGTGCTGCCAACTAAGAGGTATTGGTTGATTCATTCGTTGATTTCTTCATTTCTTCTATCATTCAATCTCCCCCACTCTCTCACTCCGACAGGTTGTCTGCCTAGACATGAGCAAAGAGATGACGTCCCGGCACGTGAGCTCCAGAGATGGGTAAGTAGGACATGTTCAATGTAGCACACAGAATGTCAAGTGGTAAAAATGTCTATAGATCTACATAATGTAGTTTCTGTGTGGTCCCGGGCATCCTCACTAGATAGCTTTAAAGTAAAATTAAACAATGCTTTCAGTTAGTTGTGCAAAGGTTAGGTGTAGTGTAACAAGTCCCTGGTGTAATATAAGCTGCAACATGCCACATGTCTGCGAAGCTGTGTTACAACAAAGGGTGCCAGCTATACAGATACAAATGCAGAATACTAGCTTCAATCTTTAAATATTTAAAAATTGTTACAGCTACAGTGTTTCTTGTCCCCTCCCACAGGTCTCAATTCTCCCCACTGTCTCTGGCCAAGCGGGTGATCGAGATTTTTGTCAGGACAAAAAGCAGAATGGACAGAAAACACCAGTTTGCCCTGGTCATTCTGCACGATGCTCCAACATTGGTAAGATTGGACCAGTATTGAGAATTTAGTTTCACATCATGTGGCAAAGCACAACCAATGCAAATGTATCCTTATGCCAAAATTCCAACTTTTCTGTGAGTTTTCTTTTTGACATTACATTGTTTTTTTTTTACACCTATTCCATTGTTTTTTTACACCTACAAATTAAAGTTGAATGACCTTAGTACAACAGTTACACCAATTTCACAGCTGCTGTTCTGTTTTGAAGGTGACAGACTTCACCCATGACCCTGACCTGTTCTGTGATGACCTGAGAGCTCAGGAGGAAACCATGGAGTGTCAGACGACCTTCAGTATCCTTTAAGTTTAACTTGGGTCTGGGATCTTATCTTGTCTTATCTGGTCACGTGTCCATATGTATTTTCTCTCTGACTTCATTGACAGAAATCCTGGTATGTATAGAATGTGTTCCTGTACTATATTGACTGATAGACTTGTATATAGTAAAGCTGTACATTGAAGATTATTACATCACTTACATTAGTGGGTCAACAGAATAAAGACAAACATATTGATACATTGTCACACCATTCTGTAGTTCTTCATCCTTGACCATTTCTCAGATGTTGCACAGCTCCTTCAAGAGATGTAAGTACACGTATGTTTTTTTTACAGTAGTAGGCATCCCTCTGTCTCTGCAGTCCTGTTTAAAACAAGGAACATGTATTTATGTCTTATTCTTACAGCTTGGCAGATTGCAAGTCATAGTTTTTCTGCAATCTCAAAAATATTTGTGTTTTGCCATGTTGTTTTAGAGTGCAGTTGGCCCCCCTTCCTGAGATAGAGGAGGTAGAACTCATCCCCCCTCCCTACGTCGTGCGAGTGTTGCTGCTGTACGGGAGATCCCACTGTCTGCCTACAGCACCGGAGGACAGCCAGCAGGTGTGTGTGCGTCTGTGTGTGAGTGTGTGTGTGTGTGTGTGTGTGTGTGTGTGTGTGTGTGTGTGTGCGCGACGCGTGTGTGTGTGTATGTTGTGCATGTTGTGCGAGTGTTGCTGCTGTACGGGAGATCCCACTGTCTGCCTACAGCACCGGAGGATAACCAACAGGTGTGTGTTTGTGTGTGTGTGTATGTGTTTGAGTGTGTGTGTGTATGTGTGTGCATGTGTGTGTGTGTGTATGTTGTGCATGTTGTGCGAGTGTTGCTGCTGTACGGGAGAGATCACACTGTCTGCCTACAGCTCCAGAGGACAGTCAACAGGTGAAAACATGTTGTGCTCATAGTCCAGTGGTTAGTAGCCTATGTAACCCAAGCTCCGGGGGGCTCCCTACATAGTCCGCCACCCATTTCGGGGGCCGGCTGGATGTTGGGCGGCCGGCAAAAGCGATTTAATCAGGCTAAGTGGTTAGTGACCCTGCCTATGGCTAATACAGGACATGAAATGACCAACCACAGTTTTAGAATCAGATGTTATGTAGTGCACAATGGTTTTAAGAAAGCTGCTCAGGTTGTAAAACAGCCAACGGGTAAAACGTTTTGTGCATAATCCAGTGGATTTCATAGAATCAGATGTTATTTAGTGAACATTGTCTCTAGGAAAAAGCTGCTTAGTTGATACAACACCACTTGACCCATTTGTCCAGCCTTGTTACATGTAGCTTTAGTCTGCTAACCAAGATTGCAAAGGTGAACTTCAGGCTGTATTTATCCGTTTGTACCTAACACTTTGTTCTCTCTCCCCTGTGTGTCCCAGATGCTGAGTGAGCTGCTCCTGTCCCCACACCTGTTCCTGGATGCGCTGTACGTCCACCAGCCTCCCGCAGACGACAACCAGAGCATTGTAAGTTTCTTATAACATTCCTCTTTAGTGGGTTTGTGAAATGGTTTGTATTGTGTATGTTTGTTCATGAGAAGGTGCTATGTCTGTTTTACATGTTTTACAAAACCCTAACACCCTGTTCAGACTGGGTTTTGAAACGCGATTGAATCGCAATTGAGGTCCAATTCCGATTGAATCACGATTGATTTTTCTGAATCTGAGCGCTCCAAGTGCGATTGAATCGCGATTAATCAAATCCATCTCTGGCAGGTGGATTTAATTGCGATTGACGGTAATTCCCGTGTGGAAGGAACGCAATCACGATTGGGTGAGCCGAGAAGTGTGAACGCATCGGGATCCAATCATGATTGGAAGCAATCCTGATTCAATCGCGATTGGGTTCCAGATGTGGATTTAATGTGAACAGAGCGTAAGACTGCCACATGCTAGTACATGTATTAAAAAAAACTGACAACTTTAAAGACATCTACCATTGCAACATCAGTAATCCCTAACCCTAACTGCAATCCAGGATATCGTCAATGTCTCACACCAATGTTCCACTTTACTTAAATCTTCACTTTATTTGCATATCAATCAATAGGTTGTGCTTATAAACCTGCTTTCCCCTCTGGTCTCTCAGTCACTGACGAAAGCTAGTGGATACTAGCTGAAACGTCTGACGTTTTCAAAATCATATCCAGTTGCTTGAGTAACTGTTTTTTGGCATATCGTATTACCTGGATGTCTAACCTTCATCGACGTTCCACTTTACCTTCCAGGAAATATTCAATGTCTCACACCTATGTTCCACTTTACCTTCCAGGAAATCTTCAATGTCTCACACCTATGTTCCACTTTACCTTCCAGGAAATCTTCAATGTCTCACACCTATGTTCCACTTTACATTCCAGGAAATCTTCAGTGTCTCACACCTATGTTCCACTTTAACTTCCAGGAAATCTTCAATGTCTCACACCTATGTTCCACTTTACCTTCTGGGAAATCTTCAGTGTCTCACACCTATGTTCTACCTTATATTCCAGGAAATCTTCAACGCGATCTGCGACCTTGACAGAAAATGCCTGTCCTACGTGTACGAGGTGGCGACCAATGTCACGATGTTTCACAACCACATGGCCAAACTGCTGGCACATCCTCTACAGAGACCTGCACAGTCTGATACGTACTACAAGTTACAGAGCAACGAGGAGGTGTCTTAGTGTTTAACTTTAAGATAGGATGGAACTATGGGCGTTTCGTGAAAAAATCAGGCTATGTGTGACCAAGAGGACTTCCAGCAACTTTTTCCAGTCTTATTTTTATTGAAATCTTCAAGTATCTGTGGTACAAATGTAGGCCAGTGTTGCCAAACCTTTGCTGGGTGAATAAGCCAGATTCAACTGTACAAAGTTGCAAAGACCTGCACAGTATGATATGTACTACAAGTTACAGAGCAATGAGGATGTGTCATCAAATCTTCAACGATAAGATGAAACTATGGGTGTTTCTTTGAAAAGCAGGCTACGTGTGACTAAGGAGGACTTCCAAGCAACTTTTTCCAGTCTTATTTTTATTGAAATCTTCAAGTATCTGTGGTACAAATGTAGGCAAGTGCTGCCAAACCTTTTCTGGGTGAATAAGCCAGATTCAACTGTACAAAGTTGGCCTACCCTTTACAGAGACCAGCACAGTCTGATACATACTACAAGTTACAGAAGAGCGAGGATGTGTCTTCAAATATAAGATAAAATAAAGCCATAGGCATGTCTTGAAAAACCAGGTGCAGCCCAGAAGGACTTTCAAGCAAGTTTATAATAAGAAAGATTTCAAGGAAGTGTATCGTAAGAAATAACATTTTGGGCTCCAGTTTGATAGTCATTTCAATCTCTATGCGTTTAAGTTTTGCCACACCTTTGCTCTGTGAACAAGCCAAAATCAACAATACAATTACAAAGTTGCTACCTTATTTATAATGACAAACTGTTGGCACATTCCCCCCAAGGGACTTTCACAGTCTGACTCATACTACATGAAGCTGCAAAAAATGTTTTTACACAATGTGTCCTTACAGACATTAAGATGAATTCTCATTACCAATTTCAAAGCAAGAAGAAGTCACCTACATAACATCACTTCTAGTGCTTTAACTTCAAACCAGATACTGATGACATACTTTATATTAGCTTTATAGCATACACATGTTCATTTGCCCATGAAATGGTTCAAAACCGTCGTCCTTCCAAACTTCTAGCTTCAGCCTCTTTCTAGTTTCTCTTTCTCTTATTCCATTGACCGAGAGAAACGAATTTTGCCCGGTACAATAGCTCAATCAGTAGAGTGTTCGCTTTGTAACAGGGAGGTAGTGAGTTAAAACCTCGGCCGGGTCTTACCAAAGACTTTATAAATGGTACATATTGCTTTCTCTGCTTAGCACTCAGCATCTATGAGAAACAGGATGGGAATGTTAACACACAGCCCTAATAGTGGGCTAGCCCCCTGCTGTAGTGCGTACACAACTATGTGACCCAAGGGCTACAGAATTGGAGTGGGTGTCACCCCTATGCTCTGCACAGAGTGGAATGGGACCTTAAAACACTAATGAATGTTCCAAGTTTTACACATTTCCTGTGAACTAAACATGTTTTGGAGAAGAGGTGGGGTTTCTTTTTTCTTCAGCCTTTACTTGATGCCTGTCAGACTTAGCGTAAGAGAACTGTCCCACCACAGTTGACCTGTAGCCTAGGCAGGTCCTGAAAAAGAGTCAACAAAAATGGCATTAATCAAATGTGGGGTGACATAGACTAGTTGCATGCTAAGAATGTCGATAGTTTAAAATGTGCATAGTGAAATATCTAAACGGCTTTATGTGTAGCATTTGGAATGCTGTAACCTTTAGCAGGCCGTTTGGCTACGAATTCCCTATTGGTTATGGGGTTATGCAGTAGTGAGAAGGATAAGAATACATTTACTTGTACCTGGAACGACTTGGCAGATGAAGGTTATGTAGAGGCTACATCTCAAGTCGTTCCAATCGTGGTTGCCACTGGGTGTGGGCCGGAAATGGACGCAATCCTCGTTGCCCATGTGGTCGTCAGGCTGCTCCACACCCCAAGCACTGAAGTTACCCAGAGGAGTACCATCCACCCACTCAAAGGTGCCTTCTTTGTCAAGGTCGGTCAGGCCAATCCAGAACGTGGAGTAAGCGTCAATGGACTTGACTAATTCGAAGAGGAAGTTGTCGGTCTCGGCGTCTCGGGGCATGGCGAGGGTGCCGCCATCTCGGCGACAGGTCGCGGCCGCTTCGCTGAAGTTCTTGTGGAGGCTGAAGACCCCGTAGCAGGCCCCACGCCACTCGTGGTAACATTTGGGGCAAAATGCTGTGCAAAGAGATTTCATTACCATCAAATATTAAAGGAGAGCGTTTGTGACATCGCACTGTGAAAATAGTACCACAAAGGAAGTTAATCAATTCAAGAATTAACCATCGTAGGATTATCTAGCACTAAGGCAAATCTTTATTATAAACCTTAATTCTTCTTGCAACCGTTCGACTCACCAGGTGCGGATATCGATGGTTTAGCACACCCAGGCTGTCCGGGTCGGGGTGAACACATGGACGTTACAGGTAGCCCTGAAAGCCCGCCAGACACAGGGCCAGCTGGCCCCATGGGTCCCCTTTCTCCTGGTAACCCAGGAGAGCCGGCAGACACAGGGCCGGCCGGCCCCATGGGTCCCATTTCTCCTGGTGGCCCAGGAGGCCCAGGTGGCCCGGCAGACGCAGGGCCAGGGGGCCCAATGGGTCCTGGAGGCCCGGCAAACCCTAACATGGTTAAAAGAAAAGAGTGGAATCAGGTGTTTGCAACTGACGTCATAGTCACCGTGCAGGATTGTGATACAAAATGTACAAAAACATAATTATACACATTTGCCTCCACATCATGGTGGACAATATAAGTACACCATAGTTTATGTACACCTTATTCTATGAAGTAAAGAGAGGTATGACGTACGTTTTAAATCTGTTGCAACAAGCTCAGTCTTACTCTTCCAGGCTCGGAGCTCACCCACCTCTCCCGAAAGAGTGATCATTCTCACTGTTTAGAAAGACGAGAGGAGATTTGCCAGAATGAGTTGTACTTGTACCATTGCACAGAGCATTCCCATGCATGCACGCGTGGTATCATGTGGCCTAAAGCCCAAATCCCATGCAGGCCTCGATGGTGTACCCTTGGATAACAAACTTTACATGAATCTATAAATTCCTCAAAGGTGAAAATGAGTATCTATCTTTGGTTTTATTGAGGTTTATTGAGGAAAAACTCTCCTTTAGCTGCCCACCCAAGGGTGGCAGCTTTTCTTTCATTAGAGGGTACATACATGAAAGACATAACAATACATCACATACAATTACATATTTACATTACATAGTTATTTAAAAGAAACAAATATGTAACATCGTATGTGCTTTACTTATTCTTGTCCATCATGTGCTTTAGTTATGGACGTCCTCTTGGAGTGGATATTAAGTAGGGGTCCTAGCACACAGTTAAAGAACCCACCGCATTTATCGATAAGAGTAAGGGGTCCAAGAATCTAGTCCCAATGGGTTGAACCTTTCAATCTTATCTTAGGTCTTGCAAAACCAAAAGGACTTGACCTGTAAGATATGGCAACAGTGTAAGGATGACCACGGCCACCAGAAGGCCTGTGGCTAGCACCAGCTTCTTGAAGAGGCGGAGCCATCTCGTCTTCTTAGCAGCGTAGGCACCATAGTCTGGCGGTTGAACAAACAGGATATTTATCACTTAAATAAAGGCTCCGCGAATACTAGTAGTTTCATCAGGTTGGTAAGACACTGAGTAAAGAGACTCTTTTTTTTACACAACCATGTCTTTTATTCGGCCGACGTTTCGGTGACAGTCTGTCACCTTCCTCAGGGCAGTTCTGACTGGTTCACATTGCACAGCAGCACAGGCAATAAAGGCTTCTTTCCAGCTACATTAACTACATATGGAGGTATAGTGTAGTAAATGGTTTATTGATAAAACACGGCACAAGTCGGCTTTGCAGTATACACTGAATTTTACATATTCCAAATACTCAGTAAAACTAACACAGTATGCTATTAAAATACATATACAAGTATATACAAGGAACGCTTAATGTTGTCAACGTGGTTTTACATACTACATGTATAGACAATCAGTGCGCAGAAAGACCTTTGCTTTAAACTTCGAACTTATGACTTCAAGTGTAGACAATCCTTCTTCTCTTTCTTTGAAGTTAATCGGCATAGCTTGATATATACTGATCCTTGTATCATACAACTACCCACCCCCACACCCACCCAACCACACCCACACAGTCAACGCATCCATGGAACATCAAACTCAAAGCCGGATCATCAAAAAGGACGGCAACAGGATTTGGATAACGATTTTGATATTCATGTTTAATTGTTCTTGTCTTATTGTACGGTACTGTATATACTGTCTCATTGTGTGTAATGCGTGTACCCAGGGCCACTCCGGACGAACTCCGAACAGCAGTGTTAATTCTCATGAATGCCACCCTGGTAAAAGAATACAGAAATAAATAAATTTGGAAGCAAATTTACCTCTTGCTATGTACACCGGGTTGGGTATTGTCGCAGCCAAGTGCGCAATGGGCCTCCAATTAGTCTGCGTTCGCTGCGTGGGCGTGGCGTCTGGAGGAGAAAAAAAAAACATTTTATTACGTTTTACCTTCGCAGGAGGAAAACGCATTGTTTTTGTTCAGTTTCTTCTTCTTCCTCCTCTTCTTCTCCAAACAAGTAAAGTCAATGATCTGGACCAGACGTCTGTCACCATGGTAATTAGCACTAATTTTCATCGCTAGCTAGCAGTGAAGGTAGTAGAAGGGCTGCCAAAATGTTGGCAAGTAGCAACATTTTGAGAGTACAATTAAACAAAAGAAGCAATAAAATGAAAACTCAATACCGCTAGATTTTACAACCGTTTGTCAAATTAGCCTACCGAGACAGAAAATGGGCTGACAAAGATGCAAACGAAGTATCCAAGCCCTTTTCGGTACCTTGTCTATGCTGTACTTTTCAGCAATGTTTTCATACAAACATAAATTGTAGTTACACTAGCGTGGTAAAGACAAAAGAAATCATGTGTGAACTAGGAAGAGATAGTTTTACACAATTATGTATAAAACAGTCTACCTCTTGTTCTACGAGTTTGGAACTGCTGCTGCGGGCTGGACATGGTGCCTCTAGTCAGGATTCTGCTCGGCAAAAACACGTCTGACGCCAGTCACGGTACAGCCCGGTGTGGGGCCTGCCGTACACCCGAAACCGCTTATCAAGAGTACACGTTTACTTTGATTTTCAGACCGATGGCAAGGATTTTCATATCAATGGATAGTGCGTCATGGCAAGGAGTAACGAGAGTCACTCTGGGATCTCTTAATTTGCATTTCACTCATTGTATGTATGAGTCTTCCTGTTTCATTGATAAGATTTGAGATGCTTTTCTCTATCCAACAAGTCATCATGTTGATCGTGTGCCATATCTGTCACTGTCAGCTACCCTGTGCTGCCATGGCAACGGTTTGTTGGTGTCGTTTTACCGATGTTCTTGAAGAATCTACCTGTCTTGTCAAACAGCTCCAAACGGCTGTTTGTCACTTTGAACTTTTTGGAGCGGATTTCATTCAAAGTCACCATAAACCCTCTTGATCTTTCTCTGCAAATGTCAAATGGTTTGTTCTACACCTGTTCTTTAAGCTTCAGAGACTCGAATAGTGTTAGAACTAGAAAAGCCCCGGAAAGATCTTCAGCTTGAGCTCCAACTTACTGAAATGTAAATTTGTGCTCTCCCACTTGTACTCATCCGATGAAAGCAAATCACGTGGGCTGAATCACCATCATGCAACTTTGACCATCGAGACTAATCTACAAGCAGACTTAAGGATCCGGCTTGATTTCATTGTTATACGCATGTTGTCGCAATGTTTAGTATATCCTTTTAGTTTGCAAGTACTCTTTGCTTCCTTTTACTCCTTGCAATACCAGGACTTAACTTGAATACTAGAAAGACGCACTAAATACTGCCTGGTAAAACACTGCGACTGAGCCGGATCCTAACATCTGCTTGGAGATAGCAGACTCGTTTTGTATCTTATATGTTACTATACTTCCCACTCCTTGCATTTTACTCGCCATTATAATTGTGCAGCCAAGAATGGTTGGAGAGACATGAGATATGTTAAAGTACAACTCGCCTTGCTCTGTACAAAGCTGGATATGAAACTGGGCACAGCACGGATTCTGGGAACTCAGTTTCGGAACCGGGCTGACGTCACGTAAAGATGAGCAACGTTCAGCAACCTTGACCTTCGCACCCCAAGCTACGCGGACCCCATTGGTTGTTACAGATGTTGTGTTTTCTATTGGATAGGCATTTGGTGTTATATCGAATCATATGATCACCTCAGGAATATGAATTCTGAATACGATAATGAAATATACTCATTGGAAAGGTAAATCTGCTCCATACAACATGTACAATGTTGGCCGTGTGTAGATCACGTGACCCTGTAGTTCTCCCAGCTTGGCAAGTTACCAACATGTGGGTGGGTGGTACCAAGTAGGTAGGGGTGCTCGTGAAACTTTGCCAGACGGCCACAAATTATCTTTACTCGTCAGTAAACAATACATACGAGGCTCAAAAAACATTTTCAAATTTTGTAGAGCAGTAAGATCAATCCGTCGCGTCGCTCTAGTGTCATGGACAGGATAAAACTAGCTGAGAGCGTCTCTCGCACGTTATGGTGACACGGAAGATTTACATTACATTTTTTTTTACGGTTACATTTTCATATTTTGTAGAGCAGTAGATCGAAGTCTTGCCGCGTACTGCTTAGTACTGCTTAGAATTTTAATTGAAGAATTTGACTCTTCTTGTGCCTTTCCAGGATGTATGCGGATTCCATCGATATATCTGAAAGATCCTGCAGACATAACAGTTAACAATCGTCTCCAAAACGTCTGTATCTGTTCATAAAGAGGCGGTCTGTCACTAAATAAAGCAAAGTAAATCTAATGCTACACAGCTTTGTATATGCTTCGAGCTGAGCCCATAGTATGACTGGATTAATGATGATTAGTTTGTTGCAAGCTTTTGCCCTATAAACCTAATTGAATTGCGATAAACAAGAGAAAAAACATCTTTCTGTTCTCATTTAGATAGTAAATCTCTATTGTCCCATACAGAAACGCTATTGGCATGCGAATGTTTCTTATATTCTGCTAAAAGTACATTATATTGATATTGGTGGTTATACTTTCTGAAGTTCAGTTCCTGTGGTGTTCCTGCGGTATCAAAACTGGACAGTCTGTAATGTTTCACAATTTGGTTATCATCAGGGGTGCTTTATGCTATTTGTACGTGTACAACTCGACACAATGTCCCACTGAACACGCTACAGCTATGTAGCCACCCGGTGTCAGCGAGATTCCCCAGGGCCCTTCTCCCTTCACCATGGCCACAGTTCTCAGGTACGTCCCGTCCGGCCGGAACACCTGCAGACGGTTGTTCCAATAGTTCACTACAATGATGTTACCTGCCGGGTCTAATGTTATCCCGGTTGGACAGTGGAGCTCTCCCTCATTCTCCTCCTCTTCACCAAAGCTGAAGTTCAGATTCCCCTCAAGGTCAAACACGAACACTTTATGAGCTGGGAAATCAGTGACAAAGAACATATCACGTGATTCGTCCACCGCTATGAACTCTGGACCCTGTAACTGCCCCTTGCCGATCTCCCGGATGAGGCTCCCGTCATGCTGCAGGAGGAGACACGACTGCTGACTGTCGTCCACCACCACCATGCGGCCATCCTTCAGAACTGCAACACCATTCGGATTTCGTAGACAGTCCGGTATCAGGGTCTTTGTAAGCTCCCCTTCTCGCGAGTACACATCGATGGCTTGTTTGTCAGTGCTGAACAATTGGTTTCGCGACGTCACAATAAACTGTCCGTCGGAGTCAATGTCAATGCCGAATGGATACTCACCAACCACAGGGAAACTACGAAGCGACTGGCCAGTCTTTGTATCGAATATCTGAACCCGTTTGTTCCCGTTTTCCAACACTGCAATGTTACCGTCCTTGTCCACTGCTACGTCTATTGGATAGGAAAGTTGTCCCTCCCCACTGCCTTCTCTTCCAATAGTTAAGACTGGGGTGTGGCTGCTTTGCACTCTGACGTCATACGGACTTCCCGCCACAGACTGACCCTTAACCCTGACATCTAACCTGTGATTGTCCGAGACCTCAGGTGTGTAGGAGATTTCCCACAATCCCTTGCCCTTCTCCTGCAGTTGTGTGGGTACGGTCTGGCCAAAGGGGTCCGTCAGGGTGGTTGTGACGTCATCTTTGGGCACAGAGCAAAGTTGTCCGTTTTTGTCCTTTATGGCAAGGAGAGAGACGTTTGTACACTTTACAACGGCAGGTTTTACTTCAAGTGAGCATTTAGATGCGTCTACCTTCCCCGTGACTTGTACGCACCCTGCCTTGGCCACGGCATCTCTGAACTCCGCCACAGCCGTCCCCTCCGAGAACACGACGACACTCGGTCGGGCTGCCAGGTCGGTTGGAGTTGTCAGCAGCTCTTCCACCCTCTGTCGTGCTTGACCCTCGACCTCGATGACGTGCACGTCGCTGCCGTGTTCCAAGGCTTGCTTACAGAACTCAGACGCGCTCGTCAGTCCGGCCAGCTCGAACTCCATCTCTTCTTTCTGCTCTTCCAGATATTTTCCGACTTCCTGGCGACGTAAGCCGATTTCTGCGACGACCTCTTCTTTCCTGTCTTGAAGCAAGGCCATCAGCTGATCGAAATATTCGGTGGCTTCTTTGATCGCTGCGTCTGCCGATGTTGGTAACTCTGATATTTCTGTCTCAACGTCACTCAGCGCAGCCCGCACGACTTTTTCTCGAGGCTCGACTTTTTCTAACAGTCCTTGTAGGTCTCGTTTCTTTCTCTCGGCGACGCCGCCGATTTCTACTGGATTGTGCTGTTCACCCGGCCGATGGTCGACAACCGTACAGGCGACACAGACCAGAGTCTGGCAAGGTTCACAGTAGAAAGTCAAGACTTGGTCTTCGTGCTTCGGGCAGAAGACTTTGCGCCTGAAGCCGCTGGGCACACCTTCAGAGGCCTCCAGGTTCTCTTGTGACACGATCTGATGCCCTTTCATGGCGGGAAACCTGCGATGTGTGTTTGTACAGGACTCACAAAGCAGAACGGCACACTGTACGCACCATGTCCGCGCCCCTCCCTCCTTCCCCTCGCACACCTGGCACGGCACACCTGGCCCCGCCCCTTTCTTCACGGCCGCGAAGTCCAGCAGGTTGCTGACGTAGAAGTTGCTCTTCAGTCCGTCCACACCTTGGTCTGGTAGACTGACCGGTTTGCGGCAGGTTGGACACTCCAGCGGCTGTTGTTTGGTGGCCCAAAGCTGCAGACATTCTTTACAAAATGTGTGCAGACACGGCAGGATTCTGGGGTCCCGGAAGTGCAGCATGCAGATCGCGCACGTCAGGAACCGCTCGTCAAACTCGGCAGATCTCGGTATTTTACTCGCCATTGTGCCGCCAAGACTGTCGGTAAGACTGAGATCTAAATACAGCCCGTCTTGTTCTGTATCAATCTCGTCTGGTGGGTGTGAAACTGGACACAGCAGTTTCTCAGAACTCAGTTTCGGAAGGCTGACGTCACGTAACGATGGGCGACGACGAAGAACATTGCCCTTTGCACCCCAGCCTATGTGGATCGCATCAGACTTAGTATTTTTCTATTCGATATACGTTTATTTATTTTACGAACTATTTATTGAATATTATAGTCAAAGGCACTTATCGTAAATGGCCCACACAGCATGAACATGTTCCGTCTGTATGGCGGCAGGCCATGGCGTCATCACCCTGTAGGCCTGCCAACTTGGCGAGACGCCAACAGGTGGTTGGACGGTACCAAGTAGATGGGGGTGGTCGTTAAGTGGCCAAACGACCACAAATGGACGGTTGTACGAGGAAAAAATAAACATTTTCACCATGAATAATAGACCTAAGGATTTCTATTGAAGGCTTTGACTCTCCTTGTGCCTCCACAATATATATAACAGATTTCATCCATATATTTGAAAGATCCTGCAAACCTACAAGTTAACAATCGTCTCCAAAACGTCGGTATGTTTCGTAAAGAGGCGGTCTGTCACATGAAGCAAAGTTCAATGCTGTGCACAGTAACAGTTCATCATGGTGGAAACAGTACACTATTACTTATTTTATACGATAGTGAACATAATGGTCATCATGTCAAAGGGCCATTCGCTAAATCTAATGCTACACAGCTTTGTACGCTTCTAGCTGAGCCCTCAGTATGACTGGATTAATGATATGTTTGTTGCAAGTTCTTGCCCTAATTATACATGCATAGGTCTAACTGCAAATAACAAGACAAAAAGATCCGTAAAAGTATCTTTTGACTACTAGTATTCTGCTTGATGGTAACTCTCTATTGTCCTGGGAACACTATTGGATTGTGAATGTTTCTCTTTTGTTAAAGTTGCATTGTCTTAATATTGATATTTTCTGAAGTTCAGTTCCTGTGGTGTCCCTTTGGTATAAAAACTGGACAGTCTACAACATTTCACAAATTCTTTATCATCAGGGGTGCTTTATGCTACTTGTACGTGTACAACTCGACACAATGTCCCCATTCACACGCTACAGCGATGTGGCCATCTGGGGTCAGCGTGATTCCCCAGGGCCCTTCTCCCTTCACTATGGCCACAGTTCTCAGGTACGTCCCGTCAGGTCGGAACACCTGCAGACGGCTGTTGGCCCAGTTCACTACAATGATGTTACCTGCCGGGTCTAACGTTATGCCTGATGGATGTTGCAGTTCTCCCTCATTCTTCCCCACTTTACCCAAGCTGAAGTTCAGATTCCCCTCAAGGTCAAACACATGGACTTTATGAGCCCAGAAATCAGTGACAAAGAACATATCACGTGATTCGTCCACCGCTATGAACCATGGGTCCTGTAACTGTCCCTTGCCGATCTCCCGGATGAGGCTCCCGTCAGGCTGCAGGAGGAGACACGACTTCTGAGTGTGGTCTGCCACCACCATGCGGCCGTCTTTCAGAACTGCAACTCCGCGCGGATTTCGTAGACAGTCCGGTATCAGGGTCTTTGTAAGCTCCCCTTCTCGCGAGTACACACCGATTGCTTGTTTGTCAGTGCTGAACAATTGGTTCCGCGACGTCACAATAAACTGTCCGTCGGAGTCCACGTCAATGCCCCAAAGACCCCCATCACCAACCACAGAGAAACACCGAAGCGACTGACCCGTCTTGCCATCGGATATCTGAACCCGTTGGTTCCACTGCTCCAACACTGCAATGTTTCCGTCCTTGTCCACTGCTACATCTACAGGGGCGGAAAGTTCCCCCTCCCCACTGCCTTTTCTTCCAATAGTTAAGACTGGGGTGTGGCTGCTTTGCACTCTGACGTCATACGGACTTCCCGCCACAGACTGACCCTTAACCCTGACATCTAACCTGTGATTGCCCGTATGCTCAGGTGTGTAGGAGATTTCCCACAATCCCCTGCCCTTCTCCTGCAGCTGTGTGGGTACTGCCTGGCCGGAGAGGTCCGTCAGGGTGGCTGTGACGTCATCTTTAGACACAGAACAAAGTTGTCCGTTTTTGTCCTTTATGGCAAGGAGAGAGACGTTTGTACACTTTACAACGGCAGGTTTTACTTCCACTGAACATTTAGAAGCGTCCACCCCTACGCTGGCTTGTACGCACCCTGCCTTGGCCACAGCATCTCTGAACTCCGCCACAGCCGTCCCCTCCGAGAACACGACGTGACTCGGTCGGGCTGCCAGGTCGGCTGGAGTTGTCAGCAGCTCTTCCACTCTCTGTCGTGCTTGACCCTCGACCTCGATGACGTGCACGTCGCTGCCGTGTTCCAAAGCTTGTTTACAGAACTCTGACGCGCTCGTCAGTCCGGCCAACTCGAACTCGATCTCTTCTTTCTGCTCTTCCAGACATTTTCCGACTTCCTGGCGGCGTGAGCCTATTTCCTTGACGACGTCTTCTTTTCTGTCTTGAAGCAAGGCCATCAGCTGATCGAAATATTCGGTGGCTTCTTTGATCGCTGCGTCTGCCGATGTTGGTAACTCTGATATTTCTGTCTCAACGTCACTCAGCGCAGCCCGCACGACTTTTTCTCGAGGCTCGACTTTTTCTAACAGTTCTTGTAAGTCTCGTTTCTTCCTCTCGGCGACGCCGCCGATTTCTACTGGATTGTGCTTTTCTCCCCGTGGATGGTCGACAACCGTACAGGCGACACAGACCAGAGTCTGGCAAGGTTCACAGTAGAACGTCAAGACTTGGTCTTCGTGCTTCGGGCAGAAGGCTTTGCGCTTGAAGCCGCTGGACACACCTTCAGAGGCCTCCAGGTTCTCTTGTGTCACGATCTGATGCCCCTTCATGGCAGGAAACCTGCGATGTGTGTTTGTACAGGACTCACAGAGCAGAACGGCACACTGCACGCACCATGCCCGCGCCCCTCCCTCCTTCCCCTCGCACACCTGGCACGGCACACCTGGCCCCGCCCCTTTCTTCACGGCCGCGAAGTCCAGCAGGTTGCTGACGTAGAAGTTGCTCTTCAGTCCGTCCACACCTTGGTCTGGTAGGCTGACCGGTTTGCGGCAGGTTGGACACTCCAGCGGCTGTTGTTTGGTGGCCCAATGCTGCAGACATTCTTTACAAAATGTGTGCAGACATGGCAGGATTCTGGGGTCCCGGAAGTGCAGCATGCAGATCGCGCACGTCAGGAACTGCTCGTCAAACTCGGCAGATCTCGGCATTTTACTCGCCATTGTGCCGCCAAGATTGTTGGTAAGACTGAGATAAATACAGCGCGTCTTGTTCTGTGTATCAAGCTCTTCTGGTGGGTGCGAAACTGGGCACAGCAGTTTCTCGGAACTCGGTTTCGGAAGGCTGACGTCACGTAACGTTGGGTGACGACGAAGAACGTTGCCCTTTGCACCCCTAGCCTACGTGGATCGCATTAAACTTTGCATTTTTTTATTCCATATACGTTTGGGGGGTAAAATGTATTGCGATCATCCCAGAATTATTCATTACGAATATGATACTAGTAGTCAAAGGCACTTATTGTAAATGCCCCATACAGCATGTACAATGTTCCGTCTGTATGGCGGCAGGCCATGACGTCATGACCCTGTGGGCCTGCCAACTTGGCGTGACGCCAACAGGTGGTTGGACGGTACCAAGTAGATGGGGGTGGTCGTTAAGTGCCAAACGACCACAAAAGGGCAGTTGTACGAGGAAAAAAATAAACATTTTCACCATGGATAATAGAGCTGAAGATTTTTATTGAAGGCTTTGACTCTCCTTGTGCCTCCACAATATATATATCAGATTTCATCCATATATTTGAAAGATCCTGCAAACCCACAAGTTAACAATCGTCTCCAAAACTTCTGTATGTTTCGTAAAGAGGCGGTCTGTCACATGAAGCAAAGTTCAATGTTGTGCACAGTAACAGTTCATTCTGTTGGAAACAATACACTATTACTTATTTTATACGATGGTGAACACTAGAGTTCCCCGATCTCATACCTTCGCCAAATGATGTTAATCTTTATGACTGACAAATTATAGATTAGATTATTCCCCCCTGATTTAAGAAATAGGAACCTAATTTTCATGAATTATATCATTTTATCATAATCTCAACCAAAAGACAGTCTTATATTAACAAACAATGCATTCTAGCATTTCCTAATAAATTATGCAAACGAGGTCCTGATTTGAATAAATTATGTTTAATGATGTTCACCTCAATTTAACTTTCAAATACCGCAAGTATGAAATTCCAGGCAGTTATCATTACATAATTATAAAATTTTCTCATTAATTATGCAAATTAAGTCATTATTAACATAATCAACATCTTCCTGTGTTTCTCTCGTTGTCAATTACCAATGTCACAAGCTTCAATTGTCCTATTATGGAATGCAGCTGATTTATAGAATTTCCCCATAAATTATGCAAATTACATCCATATTTGCATAATTGTCACATAATTATATTAAGCATCACGTAAGCTACCTACATACCAAAAATCACGACGATCTGTCAACCGGTTCTTGAGTTATCCCCTTTTGAATATTTTCAAGAATATATCCCTGCAGTTCCAGAGCAAGCCGCTAGGGGGCCTAAACTCACGTCACTTCTTCCCCAGCACAAGAGCTACCTACCATCCAAATTTCATCACCATAGCATGTCTAGATCATGAGATATCAAAACCGGAAGTTCAGCTGCAGTACCATAACAAGCCGCTAGGGGGTCCAAAATCTAATCATTTCGAGGTCTCATCAAGACCTACCCACCTACCAAGTATCAAGACAATCCATCAAGGCCTTCTCAAGTTATCGTGTTGACAGACAGACACACACACACACACATACACGAACGCCCCTGAAAACATAACCTTCTCGGCGAAGGTAATAATGGTCATCATGTCAAAGGGTCATTCGCTAAATCTAATAATACACAGCTTTGCACGCTTCTAGCTGAGCCCTTAGTATGACTGGATTAATGATGATAGGTTTGTTGCAAGTTCTTGCCCTAATTATACATGCATAGGTCTAACTGCAAATAACAAGACAAAAAGATCCGTAAAAAATATCTTTTGACTATTTTGTTTGATGGTAACTCTCTATTGTCCTGGGAACACTATTGTATTGTGAATGTTTCTCTTTTGTTAAAGTTGCATTGTCTTAATATTGATATTTTCTGAAGTTCAGTTCCTGTGGTGTCCCTTTGGTATGAAAACTGGACAGTCTCTAACATTTCACAAATTGTTTATCACCAGGGGTGCTTTATGCTACTTGTACGTGTACAACAAGATACAATGTCCCTCCATACACACTACAGCGATGTGGCCATCTGGGGTCAGCGAGATTCCTGCTGGTTCTCTCCCTCTTACAATGGCCACATTTCTCAGGTACGTCCCGTCAGGTCGGAACACCTGCAGACGGCGGGTCAAAGTGTCCACCACAATGATGTTACCTGCAGGGTCGAATGTTATCCCGGTTGGGCTTTGCAATTCTCCCTCATTCTCCCCTTCTGTACCAAAGCTGACCTTCAGGTTCCCCTCAAGGTCAAACACGAACACTTTATGAGCTGTGAAATCAGTGACAAAGAACATATCACGTGATTCGTTCACCGCTATGAACCATGGGCCCTGTAACTGCCCCTTGCCGATCTCCCGGATGAGGCTCCCGTCAGGCTGCAGGAGGAGACACGACTTCTGAGTGTCGTCTGCCACCACCATGCGGCCGTCCTTCAGAACTGCAACTCCGCGCGGATTTCGTAGACAGTCCGGTATCAGGGTCTTTGTAAGCTCCCCTTCTCGCGAGTACACATCGATGGCTTGTTTGTCAGTGGCAGTGCTGAACAATTGGTTTCGCGACGTCACAATAAACTGTCCGTCGGAGTCAATGTCAATCCCCCATTGGTTCTCACCATCCACAGGGAAACACCGAAGCGACTGGCCAGTCTTGGGATCGAATACCTGAACCCGTTTGTTCCCGTTCTCCAACACTGCAATGTTACCGTCCTTGTCCACTGCTACATCCACAGGGGCGGAAAGTTCACCCTCCCCACTGCCTTCTCTTCCAATAGTTAAGACTGGGGTGTGGCTGCTTTGCACCCTGACGTCATACGGACTTCCCGCCACAGACTGACCCTTAACCTTGACATCTAACCCATGGTTTCTAGTGAGTTCAGGTGTGTAGGAGATTTCCCACAATCCCCTGCCCTTCTCCTGCACCTGTGTGGGTACCGGCAGGCCCCAGGGGTGCGTCAGCGTGGCTGTGACGTCATCTTTGGGCACAGAAAAAAGTTGTCCGTTTTTGTCCTTTATGGTAAGGAGAGAGACGTTTGTACACTTTACAACGGCAGGTTTTACTTCCACTGAGCATTTAGATGCGTCTACCCTTACGCTGGCTTGTACGCGCCCTGCCTTGGCCACAGCATCTCTGAACTCCGCCACAGCCGTCCCCTCCGAGAACACGACGAGACTCGGTCGGGCTGTCAGGTCGGCTGGAGTTGTCAGCAGCTCTTCCACCCTCTGTCGTGCTTGACCCTCGACCTCGATGACGTGCACGTCGCTGCCGTGTTCCAAAGCTTGTTTACAGAACTCTGACGCGCTCGTCAGTCCGGCCAACTCAAACTCCATCTCTTCTTTCTGCTCTTCCAGACATTTTCCGACTTCCTGGCGACGTAAGCCGATTTCTTCGACGACCTCTTCTTTCCTGTCTTGAAGCAAGGCCATCAGCTGATCAAAATATTCGGTGGCTTCTTTGATCGCTGCGTCTGCCGATGTTGGTAACTCTGATATTTCTGTCTCGACGTCACCCAGCGCAGCCCGCACGACTTTTTCTCGAGGCTCGACTTTTTCTAACAGTTCTTGTAAGTCTCGTTTCTTCCTCTCGGCGACGCTGCCGATTTCTACGGGATTGTGCTGTTCACCCGGCCGATGGTCGACAACCGTACAGGCGACACAGACCAAAGTCTGGCAAGGTTCACAGTAGAAAGTCAAGACTTGGTCTTCGTGCTTCGGGCAGAAGACTTTGCGCTGGAAGCCGCTGGGCACATCTTCAGAGGCCTCCAGGTTCTCTTGTGACACGATCTGGTGCCCCTTCATGGCAGGAAACCTGCGATGTGTGTTTGTACAGGACTCACAAAGCAGAACGGCGCACTGCACGCACCATGACCGCGCCCCTCCCTCCTTCCCCTCGCACACCTGGCACGGCACACCTGGCCCCGCCCCTTTCTTCACGGCCGCGAAGTCCAGCAGGTTGCTGACGTAGAAGTTGCTCTTCAGTCCGTCCACACCTTGGTCTGGTAGACTGACCGGTTTGCGGCAGGTTGGACACTCCAGCGGCTGTTGTTTGGTGGCCCAAAGCTGGAGACATTCTTTACAAAAGCTGTGCAGACACGGCAGGATTTTGGGGTCCCGGAAGTGCAGCATGCAGATCGCGCACGTCAGGAACTGCTCGTCAAACTCGGCAGATCTCTGCATTTTACTCGCCATTGTGTCGCCAAGATTGTTGGCAAGACTGAGAATTAAATACAGCCCGTCTTGTTCTGTATCAAGTTCGTCTGGTGGGTACGAAACTGAGCACAGCAGTTTCTCAGAACTCAGTTTCGGAAGGCTGACGTCACGTAACGCTGGGCGACGACGAAGAACGTTGCCCTTTGCACCCCAGTCAATCTATCGGAAAGACATCTGGGGGTAACTTGTACTGCGACCACCCCATAACTATTCATTATGAATATGATAGTCAAATGCCTCACACAGCATGTACAATGTTCCGTCTGTAGACAGCAGGTCATGACGTCATGACCCTGTAGGCCTGCCGACTTGGCGAGACGCCAACAGGTGGTTGGACGGTACCAAGTACTAGCAGATGGGGGTGGTCGTTAAGTGGCCAAACGACCATATATATAGGGACGGTTGTACGAGGGAAAAATAAACATTTTGACGATGAATAGTAGAGCTGAGGATTTCTTTATTGAAGGATTTGACTCCCATTGGGCCTCTCTAATATATCGATACATGTCAAAGATCTTACAAACATAAATGTTAATAATCATCTCCAAATGTCTGTTGCTGTTAAGAAAGAGGCAAGACTATATCTATGATATAGTGGCGAAGAAGACTAAGTAGAATATGTTGGAACAATTAAACATGTTAAGACAGAGACACAGTTTTAGTCTTAAAGTCCGCGGATAGGTATCCAGAACCAAGTTTTATCCAGAACCTATGCGTATCCAGAACCGCGCTTGGGGCAAACCTACGTTTTTGGATATGCAGAGACTATTTACAGCCGTTTCCAACATCAACCCTAATCCATTCAGGTATAGAACTAGATAGGTGGCACGGCTCTGGATACGATACCCCTGTCCACGGCGCTCACTTGTACCTATACAGTTCTACACAGTGTCCGGTATAGCACGCTACAGCCACGTAACCCTCGGGCGTGAGTGCGAGTCCGTGCGGGGCGCCCCTGCTCGTGGTCACGGTGCGAAGGTACCTGCCGTCTGGCCCAAACACCTGGACGCGACCGTCAGCCTTGTTTGCGACGATGACGTTACCTGCGGGGTCTAACGTCACACCTGTCGGGCTGCTCAGCTCACCTGGATTCTGACCTCTCTTGCCGAAACTGAACCTCAGGTTGCCCTCAAGGTCAAACACCACGACCTTGTGGGCGCGGTTGTCCGTGACGAACATCAGGCCACGTGACTCGTCGATCGCAATGAACCATGGGTCTTGCAACTGCCCTTTGCCGATCTCCCGGATGAGGCTCCCGTCAGGCTGCAGGAGGAGACACGACTTCTGCTGCTTGTCCGCCGCCACCATGCGGCCGTCCTTCAGAACTGCAACTCCAAGCGGATGCCGTAGATATTCCGGATTGAACGTTGCCAACAGTTCCCCTTCCCGCGAGTACTTTCTGACGCCGAAGCTTGCGCCGTATGACGTGACGAACAGATTGCCGCTGGAGTCCGTATCTGTTCCGAACAGCCCTTCGCTCTCTATCGGGAAGCATTTCAACACGTTTCCATGCTCTGCATTGAACACCTGTATCCGCCTGTTCACCTGCTCTAACACTACGACTTTACCTTCCCCATCTATCGCCACATCTATTGGTTTCTTCACTTGCCCTTCCTCGCTGCCTTCCCTTCCTATAGTGATGACGGCGCTGTCCCGACTTCGCACCATGACATCAAAAGGACTGCCGGCGACGTCCCTGTCCTTGACCTTGACCTCTAACCTATGCCTCCCCGTGACCTCAGGGGTGTAGAGGATGTCCCAGACCCGCCCCTCGTCCCTGGCCTGCAGCAGAGTTGGTACTGCCCTGGTTCCTGCCGGACCTGTCAGCGTCGCCGTGATGGCCTCACGGTTCACTGCTACTGCCTGCCCCTCCTCATCTGCAGTCTCAAGCACTGATGTGCACTGGAGTCCCACCACCGGCGTCTTGGTCACCACTCTGCACTTGGAGACGTCCACATTCACCGTCGAGCTCACGATCCCAAACCTTTCCACGTCTTTCTTGAAGTCTGCAACGTTCACTCTCTCCGAGAACTGGACTTTGTCTTGCTCAGGTTTCAGGTTGATTCGTTCTTGAAGCAGACCTTCGACCCTCCTCTGAGCCTGCTCTCCTACCTCTACAAGATGCATCTCGTCACCATGATCCACGGCTTGTCCGCAGAATGTCCGCGCGCTGGCGAGCCTGGCGAACCCCAGCTCCACCTCTTCCTTCTGCGACTCTAATGTCTTACCGATGCCGCGATATGTGGAGTCGATCTGGCTCAAGATCTCCCGCTCACGCTTCTGCAAGAGGTCTGCAAGATGCTGGAAGTATGAGGTCGCCTGGTTGACGGATTCTATTCTTGAGCTGTCCAACTTCATCATCTCCTTGTCGAATTCCTTAAGAGCTTCTTGCATCTCTTCAAGACGTGGATCCACCTGGCTTAGAAGTTGCCTCAGCTTGTCTTTCTGGTCGTCAGCAATAGCGCTAACTTCTACCGGATTATGGTCAGTACCTGGTCGATGGTCGACTACAGTACACGCTGTACAAACCAAAGCGTTACAACTCTCACAGTAGAAGACCAGTTCTTGGTTCTTGTGCTTGTGGCAGTGACGCTTACGCTGGAATTTACTCACGTCTTTCTCTGCTTTGAGGACCTCTGCTGGGACGACTTCGTGCTCTTTCGTGCCCGGGAGTTTCCGGTGTACAGTTGTACAGGCGCCGCACATCCAGGTAGCGCAGTCCACGCACCACGACTTGCCGCCATCCTGCCCTCCCTCACACACCTGGCACGGCACACCTGGCCCCGCCCCTTTCTTCACGGCCGCGAAGTCCAGCAGGTTGCTGACGTAGAAGTTGTTCTTCAGTCCGTCCACACCTTGGTCTGGTAGACTGACCGGTTTGCGGCAGGTTGGACACTCCAGCGGCTGTTGTTTGGTGGCCAGTTCTTGCAGACACTCCCTACAAAAGCTATGCAGACACGGCAGGATTTTGGGGGCTCTGAAGAGTGACATACATATCTGGCACGTCAGAGACTGCCTGTCCATGTCGTTTGCCATTTTACTCGCCATCTCAGAAACTGATAGTAGCAAGAACGGGCCAGATGAACGCAAACTGGCGACTTGACTCCGAGACTGGTCGCCGACTCTCTGTCCAACGCGGATGTTGACGTGTCGGAAGGCTCTGGTTGGCAGGATTCTATTGGTGACCTTATTTTGACTCAAAACAGATACATCCTTATTGCTGAATATTGTCCAGGATACATGTAAGGGTCTCTCAGTGTGCTGTTATGTAGCTACGCACTTACGCTCACTTTTTCTGTTTCATTGTTCTGAAGCATTCTTACGTCACAGTTTGTTTACCGCAATGAATACCGGGACAGTTTGTGGTTAATTAATCTCCTAGCAGATCAAAAATCCGATCAGATCCCGGTGAAACATGCCAAAAATAAGCCGAAGCCGACACCTCTGCTTGGAGAGTAGTGGCCAATGGATGTTTATATTGCACAGTGGTGCGTAGCATGGTGTGGCAGGTGCCGCATGTGTTGGTGTAGCGTTAGTGCAGTAAGGATGACGCAACGCAGGTGTCCCCACCTGTCCTTTAGACACCTGTTCTAAAGGACGTTCTAGAATGAATAGGGCGGCGCCCATCTCCTGTTTAATTACCCTTGGGCCACACAGTTGTGCAATCACTACAGCATGGGACCAATATTCGACTGGTACTCTCTAGGCATTTCACATACTGTGGGTCATTTAAGTACACATATTGACCGCGATGGACTCAATTTAGCCAGACGGAAATGAGATTCTTTAACACTGACTTCACTTGCTTCTATTGTGATGAGAAAATCGATAGGAATTTGATTGATCGGCGAGTGATCGATGACTTTCCGAACCCATCACTCCGCCTCCTGGGAACGTGCCGATCACGTGACTATTGTTGTTGTTGGGAACGAGAGGTCGGTTCGGCAGTCCAAGATGGCGGCGCTCATTCCAAAACTGACGTTGTTGTAATCAAAACGTAACGTCATCTCCATTCACGAAACTTTCCGCAACTCAACCCCACAAACCCGCTCGCGACCGAGAACGCGTTTGTGTAAAATTTCAGTCTGGACGGCCCAGAAGGGGAAACTATGCCGTGTGAGACGCGCAGCGAAGGCGGGGAATCTGGAGCCGAACCGCCGGCGGCTGACTCTCCCCCCTGCCCGGAAAGAGCAGACCCGGACGCCGAGGCTCTAGTCGTCCCCGACCCGGCAGTGCTTCGCGAGAGGTACCCGCTCCACTACAGCGTCTTCCAGGGCGACATCAAGAGGGTCTCCGCGCTCCTCAGGACCTGCGATGTGACCGAACAAGACGTACACGGTAGGACTGGCGATGTTGTTTTTGTAAAGAGGGGAGGGGCCGAGTTTTGCCATGCCTGCAGCACTAGGCATATGCTTAGTAATTACGGACTTACGTAATACTATGGTGTTGTCAGTTACACTAACATTACATACTGTTAACACTAACATAGTAAACGTATGATCATTTGGTAAAACTGCGTTGTAGAGAGTACGGAAAGGTTAAGAATGTGCTTGTCAGTAAGATCGTTCAATAATTTTCTAAAATTATAAAATATGTGTCAATTATACTAACACAACATACTATTACTATTAGTATTACTAACCTAGCATCGGTATGATCATTAAGCAAAACTGTGTTTTATACAGTACAAAAAAGTAAGGAACTCTCAGCAAGATCCTGAAATCAAAGTTATATACTTATGTGCTGCCAAAACTTTAGTTAACATATACACTAACATTTATACAAACGTACATGTAATAGTAGTAGTGGTATGTATGTGGGCGTACATTATATGTGGGCGTGAGCTCCAAAAATGGTCTGCATTACTACATTGAGAAGGTCCAGTTTGCTCATAAAGATACAAAAGAAAAATGTTTCCGAAATATTCAGCATATAACTAAACAGGTCTACAGGATATGATACCACACTGGTAATAGTGGTATGCACACAGCAATTTTAATACCCCGCTTCCTGGATTATGTAAGTGATCCACAGATAAGATAAAACATGGCAAACATAGTTTCCTGTTTCAGTCCTTGAAAAATTAGGGTTGGTAGGTAGGGATTACCTTTTTTTTAGACTTCAGTGATATCTATATAGGGGTCCAGCTAATACAATACAGTTTGACAAAGTCAAACTTGCATGAGGATACTTGTACTTTCAATGTCAATTCTAGAAAACCAAGCAACATCTTTTGCATCGCATTCACACCTCAGGGCTCTTGTCCAATTGAAGGGAATCTACATTTATTAAAGGAGAGAGTATGGAAGCCCTGGTAAATACAAATAGGACAGTGCCTATGGAGTAGTGAAGTAAACCAGACATATGCTGCCATCCATTTAATCCAGACCTACATTGTACATGTACAGTATGCTGCCAGCCATTAGTGATATTGTCCTGAGTGCTTCATGGCCTCCTGAGGACCATTAGCTGGGAAACATGTTCCACTTACTCAGCAGATTTGGGCCAATCTATACAGGCCAGCCTGCTTCAATCAGTGGCAATCTGTGTCAAAACATAAAATAGAAGTCGTTCTGATCGTAAAAGTGAAATGCTAGTCAGGATTATTCCCAGACGTTTAGAGCAATAGCTGTAAGTCAGGGGAGGGTTTAAAAACAAGCAAATCTTGATACAAAATTACATGTATCTAAATTTTAAAATTGATAAGGTAGAACTTAGATCGTAATATTGTGGTGCAGCAATATCATTCAATTGCTTAGGGAGAGCCCTTCCAGTGCACCTTATAATTAGTTGGGCTGGTAACATGTTTTACACTAAATTAAGAACAGACATATTAAAGTTTCATAAGGGACTAGCACAGGAAAGAAATCAAAATGTAAGCAATTAATTTATATTTTACATCAAATTTCATTACCATGATGAGAAACCAATTAAGGTGGTTATTATTAATATTAGCAAAATAACTCTCCTCATAAAAAAGCAACTAAGTTATTCAGTAAATCATGAATCATATCCAGTTGCTTGAGTAACTGCTTTTTTGGCGTATCGTATTACCTCCAACACCAGACCCGTCACTTACCTGTAGCCACTGTGGCAGAGTATGTCTGTCATGAATCAGACTTGTCAGCCACCAGCGGGCGTGCAGCAGGAGAGAGAAGGGCCCCTGACAATCTTCGGATATGAAGCCAAGCCAAGAGAGATTACCTGGATATCTAATAATATAACCTTCATCATCGTATTCAGTAAATATTGGGATGTTTGCTTTCTTTAAAACCAATCAGATTTACTTTCTTTTCTGCAGGAAACACAGCTCTGCATCTGGCTGTCATGCTGGGGAAGAAAGGTGAGTTCTGACCTGCAGTTCCACACAAAATCTCTAGGTGGGGTCAGGAACATTTCTGAAGTTTGGATTCTCCGACTGCTTTGATCATCAAACATGTCAAACATACTGCATGTGTACTCAGCACATAGCACATTGACAAAGTTCAAAATGTTCAATATCTCTCCATTTTGGGAACACTGATATTGGAAATCAATGCTACTGAGGGTCAGTTTTAGGTGAATATACATGTATATGGGATGCAGAATATTTTCTTATCCAAAAGTTTCTTTTCTCTCTGAATTAAGAGATGGGAGGTTTAATGTCTTGTCATATAGCTCAATATATCGTGACTTCAGACAATTTCAGCTTAGATGGTACCTTGATCTGTCATGACTTTACCTTATTTCAGAGTGTGTGCACCTGCTGTTGGCCCATGGTGCACCTGTGCGGGTGAAGAACGCAGCAGGGTGGAACCCGCTGGCAGAAGCCATCAGTTATGGAGACAGGCAAACCAGTAAGGAGTATGGTCTAACCACTTAACACTCCTGCCAAGGGTCACATTTCCTGTTGTAGTCTCTGCTTTCTTGTTCATACTGACTTTGCAATAAAAAATAATTACTGTGGTGTATTGTTGTACAGAGTTATTTGGTACAGGTCCTGGATTTCCAACTTGGAGTGGTCACTAACATACCCTGTCCTTGGTGCTGACTGCATTCCTTTAACATTGCTAAACAATAGTATATACATGTACCAGATGTTCTAAATTTTCAGTGCAGTTTCTAACATAGAATTTTAGTGTATGAAGCTCTAACCCTCCACTACATAACACTACATTCCCTGTCCTTGGTGCTGACTGCCTTCTCTTTACATTTATTAACTGTATTTCCCAGGTACTGTAGTCAGGTGCCAGACTAGTGAGTTTGTAACCTGTGTGTTTGTGAATAGACACTGTACTTCAAATATATGGCATGGGTGAATAGAATGTCTACATTCTGTATGTTTGAGCTGCCTTCCTTGTCATATCTCTTTGTCATTGCCCTTTCAAGGTTTTAAAAGTTGGCCTCTTTCCTTGTCTTTATTCAAAGTAGACCTGCCAGTAGATACAGCTGGTTATCTAGTAAAGTGTATCTTGGTTGACACAAATCTAGTTATCTTATTTGATGAAGAAGATTTTGCTCTTGATACACAATATTGTCAATGTGTGGTACCTTAACTGTTCCTTGGATGCAGTACCACTTGTGTTCACCAGGGGTCTCTTCTGTCCCACAGTCACCTCCCTGCTGAGGAAACTAAAGCAACAGTCCAGGGAAACTCTGGAGGAGAAAAGGCCAGAGCTTCTACAGGCACTTAAGGAGGTAAAGCTGAATGTCTTACCCTTTTGTCTCCACCTTAGATATTTACAAGCATTTTTTCTTCTTCTATGATACTATCAAGCAACCTGGCTTAGGTGTAACTGATACTTATATTTATAATTGATTAGTGTCAATCTTAGCAAAGAAATGAAATGTACAATGTAGACTTACAGCATTTACAAATGAATTAAACTTTTGTCATTTTTCATCATTTTTCTTTGTCCAGTTGGGAGATTTCTACTTGGAGCTGAAGTGGGATTTCCACAGCTGGGGTGAGTTAGACATGACTTTTGTCTTACAGATTGCTGTATACAAAAGACAATGTAGTTTTATTCTCTGTATAGGGATTAACAGATAGACCACTTTGGTACTGAACTACGTTCAGGTTACTGGAACAGCATCAAGTCAAAAACATCAATGCTCTAGTCAATGCTCAAGTTACTGAATGTGAGGACTTTAGGTGGTCCAATAGGAAATTTTACAGACCCTCCTAGTATACTCTTATTGTAAGGTAAGGTTATGTATGTCAGACTAACAGTGTATCACTGTTGTGTGTTCCAGTGCCCCTGGTGTCCAGAATACTGCCCTCAGACACATGCAGAATATACAAGAGTGGCGTTTGCATAAGGTCAGTTGTGACAAGCCTGGTGATTGGTCGACAGCCATACATTTTGAGTGATAACATATGCACAATTATTGAATGTAACAATTAAAATGAGCGTTTTATTCTATGTCTTGTACAGAGAACAAGAATGTTATTAAGAAAACAAAATTAAAGGTTTTTATAGTCTGCATATATAAATACAATGTATGAGCTGTTGTTAGCTTCTTTAGGTCCACAGCAACCTGTCTTCTAGAAAGATTTTGGTTGTTCAAACAACCAATATGCTTCAAGGGAAATAAGTTAGCATAAATACACAGTATTTGCAACAGTTATTACTATCTACAAGCTCAAGTGCCTATGGGCTTTGTTTTTTCTCATTCTATACAGTAGCTATGGTGTCACACTTAGAAAGACAGTTCCTGTTGAATTGCCACCATTACTAGTAGCAGTACATGTATAGTTTCCTGTGTCCCACACTATTGTCGGCCTGATCTGTAGGTACATGGCTCCATCCGCACCTAACCCTACTCGAACTCGCGAACTGTCATCCTCGTCATTAAGCACGATCCCGTCCTGATTGGTCCACTCCAGTTGCGGAGCCGGGCAGCCTTCCGCTTCGCACTTGTAGACTACGCTGTAACCACTCCCGACAAAATAATCCCCAGGGTAGATAGAAACTACGGGAGGTTCCTCACCAAGAAATATCCGCGGGACGTCCCAGAGGTTCATCCCGCGTAGCCTGAGTGGCGTTGAACACTGCACGTCGATCTCTTCTCGGTCATATCTTAGCAACAGCCACTCGCGGAAGAACACCATGTTACAGTCGCAGTGCCAGATGTTGTCGCCCAGCCAGGTCTTGTTGAACTTCCCGTAGTGCTGGATCTGGTAGCTCATGGTTGTCAGACGGTTGTCGCGCATGTCCAACTTTGTCAGCTCTTTTAGTTCCACGTAGAGTTCACTCACACTGGGGCCGATAAGGTTGTGGTCAAGATATAGGACGGAAATCTTGCTGAACAGTCCAAAAGCTCCTTCCACTGTGTCTAACACATTGTAGCTGAGGTAGAGTTCGGAGAGTTGTGGAAAGTCGCGGAAGGTCCAACCGATACTGTCAATGTGGTTGTAGCTCAGGTTTAGTCTCCAGATCATGTTGTCATCAAGAAAGGCATTGCCGATGTTCTGTATGGTGTTGTGTTGGAGGTAGAGCTCTCGTAACTTTGGGTGATGTTTGAAAACTGACTTGATGTCGCTGATGTTGTTGTGACTTAGATCAATGATCTGAAGCTCTTTGTTCCTGTATATGCCTTTGTCGAGGTACTCAATGTTGTTGTGTTGTAAGTACAGTTCCTTGAGCAACTCTAAGTTGGTGAAAGAAGAATGGATTGTAGCAATGTTGTTGTGACTGAGGTCCAGTCGTTGTAGGAGTGTATTTTGATCCAGTGCGTATTTCACACTTTTGATTTTGTTGCTGCTTAAGTTTAAATTTTTTAGCTCTAGCAGTTCATCAAAGCTGTCATCAACATTACTGATGTTGTTATGACTAAGATCTAACCTCTCAACCATACTAATCCTCTTAAAGGCTCCCTTGACGTTGGTGATTCTGTTGTGTTGCAGGTTGATTTCCTTTAATTGCTGCATTTTGGAGAAAGCTCTGGTGATGTCAACAATAGCATTGTGCCCTGCATACAGGGATACTATGGATGGAGTGCTCGAAAACTCTCTGTCCAGAGATGAGATGTTGTTATTTGATATGTCCAAGCCTTGTAGTTTGGGAACTTTCCTCAGTTCCCTGGCTAGAGTTGACAGCCTATTGTTTTGTAGGTACAACCACTGCAGGTTCTGCAGCCCTGTTAATGTGTTGTTTATAGTCAGGATGGAGTTGTGTTCAAGGTGGAGCTCCCTCAGCTCTCCCAGCTCTGTGAACAGCCTGATGATGGAAACTAGCGGGTTGTGACTGAGGTCCAGTCGGCGGAGTTTCCTGTTGTATGTGAAGGCATCGATGGCCATGACAATCCTGTTGTGGTCCAGACTAAGAGTTTCCAGATCGACTAGCTTGGAGAAGGCTTTCGAGATCACGCTGATGCGATTGTTTCCCAGGTCCAGCCAGCGTAGCTTGGGTAATCTGTCGAGCGAGTTCTGGATGTTCCCAACTTTGTTGTGGCTCAAGTCGAGAGACTCAAGCTGCTGCTGGTCCCGAAACACGTCCTCGATGGAATAGATCCAATTCTGAGCCAGGGTGAGAGTTTTCAGCTTGGAGAGACTGTGAAACCCGTTCCTGATGAAGGTTAGGTAGTTGTTGTGCAGGTAGAGGAACTTGAGCTGTACCATGTAGCTCAGCTCCCAGGACACGAACTGTATCCGGTTGTGGCTGAGATCCAGCAGCTCGACTTTCTTGTTGTGATGCAGGCTGTAGTTGAGGTGGGCGATGCTGTTGTGGCTCAGATCCAGGTGCACGAGATCTCTCAGGCTCTGGAAGGCCGACACCGTGGACCGGATCTTGTTGTCCCGAAGGACCAGCCATTTTAGATTCTCAAGGTCGCGGAACGCGTCACCGAGATGCTGGATCTGGTTACTCTGAAGGTCGAGGTATTCCAGCCGGTTCAACCCCCGAAACTGACGGCCTAAGGTCCACAGAAAGTTGTTGGCTAGAAGAAGCTCCTTTAAGTTGATCAAGTAGTTGAGGGATCCTTGGATCTCCGTGATCTGGTTGCTGCTGAGATCCAGAGATTCCATGCTGTCCAGATCGCTGAACGCGCCATGGATTGTCCGGATTTGGTTGTTCCGAAGGTTAAGGTCAACAAGTTTGTGGAGTCCCTGAAACGCTTTTGTTGCGATGCGGATGAAATTATTCCCCAGGTCCAACTCCTGAAGTTTCTGGTTTGCTCGGAAAAGACCGTTTACTCGTACAATTCGGTTATTACTAAGATCCAGCCGCCAAAGCTGCTTCAGTGCTGTGAACGCCCGGTTATGAACCACCCTCAGTTCATTGTTGTTCAGAAACAGCTGCTGTAGCTGTTCTAATGCTGCAAAGGCTCCAGCATTGATGGCCCTAATCTGGTTGTGTCCCAAATCTAAGATTTTCAGCATCTTCTGGTTGGCGAATGCTGTCCCCAGGTCGGTAATGTTGTTATAACGAAGATACAACGTCTCTAGCTTGGTCAGATTCCTGAAGGCCATTTTGATGGTGCTGATCCTGTTGTTCTTCAGGTTAAGCCAGGTTAGGTTGGTGGTTTTATGAAATGCGGTTTCCACATTGCGGAGTCGGTTATACTGCAGGTGAAGCACTTCCAACGCTCGAACGTCTCCGAGTATTTCCTCGATGCTGACAAGAAAGTTCCTGGTGAGGTCTAGCACTCGGAGCTTGTTCAGGCCAAAGAACCCACGTTTTTGTATCACAGAGATCGCGCTGTCCTTCAGTGAGAGGTAACGCAGGTCACGGAAAGGTCGCAGTTCGCCGGAACGTATCCCTCCCATGGTGAACCCGATCAGTTCCAGCCATGTTGCCTGCGTGGGGAGGTTCTCGGGAGTGTCCAGGAAGCCCCACCCATGGCAACTGGCACCCTGCCCCCACTCCGAGTCTATGTCCAACCCACAGTCACACAGAAGTGGGCAAAACTCTGTTTCCTCTTGTGCTGGTATTGTAAGAAGGTGGTTGCAAGAGAAAAGTATAATATATAGGAATGGAAACATCCTGTTGGAAAGTCTTGAAGTTAACCTTTAGCCTGCTATGGTAGCTGTGTGGTGCCAAGTTTTGTATAGGTTATAGAGTTTGGCAGCAGGCAGAAGGTAAAGATATGTAGCAGTTTCAGTGTTGTTTGAACAGGTGGTTTTCTTCACTGAGATGCAATGCCCCCTAGTGTCCAGTCCAGTACTGCACCCAGGGTCCTGTTAGAGTCAAAAGGCTGAATAAATATTGATGTTGTTGGATCATTGTCACCAGTTCTGAAAATAGCATTTTTAACATGTTAACCAACTAACAAACCAACATAGGTGAAGTCTGTAACCTCCTTGTCGTAATATTACTGTAACTAATAATGTACTTGTATTCACACAGTGACACTTCCTGAATAAGGTCTCATTCATGTATTACTCCGAGTGTACCCCCTAAAAGAGTACCAAGTCAAAAACTAAACGGCTGTATGAACGCGTGTTTTTATTGGTGAGAATTTCCCCTTTAGCCATCCCAACTGATGTAAAACGTCAAAGCAGTGAAAGCTTGTTTGTAACTGATGAAATTAGGACGTAATTGTCGGTAGCCGCGCGCAAGGTCGGACGTGCACAGTCCAGTGTTGTGAGTTGTGCGGTCGTAGGTTTGCAGCGTGGGAGGGCCTCTTGCGGGCAGCCGCTAGGTGCAGTTTGTATTTCCCATAAAAGGGGATTGTGTGTATAGAAGTCGTTGGCAATTTTTTTATGAGATGTAGAGTAAGTGTGCTCAACATAGCATGAAAGATATCAATTGATTTAATGTAGGATCATAGGGAACCCGGTCTCGTAAGTCGCTCATTAATGCATGGTTTCTAATGTATGGAAAAAACTCATGAATGAGACCTTAATTAGAAATAAAAAATATTCACCAAAAATCAACGATTAGTGCTAAGGTCCCAATTTTTTAACAACGTTTGCCCAGGATTTAATGTCCGATTTTTCAGCGCAAGTTGCATTGTGTAACCACGCCCGTTGCCATGGCAACGGACGAGGCCATTTCTGCGGGGGTTGATTGACGCCGTCTTTTCACCATTCTCCGTTTTACAAAGATTTACAGTCAAATAACGTTTTGAAAAGCTGTCATAGTCAATGATACATACACTAAAGATTATTCCCTGACTATCAGTGTTGTGTAAGACGTCTGTAAAGCAAGGACTGACAAGCACACGCTTGCAAATTATATAGAAATCGTGTAAACCCAAATTCACGGACAACACATGCAAACATTAGTCATGATTAGAAGCGTCGATTACGGAACTTAGATGTTCATATGAAATTGTGGGTAGAGTTAAGGAACCACAGAACAGGAAAAGATTCAAATACTAAAGATATGTGCGCTCTGCTTTCAGGAAAAGCGTCAAATACAAGGCAATCCGATGCGCTACGGATTGTTCAAAACCACCTTGCCCGCAGCCTGACTGTGTACCCACCTAAAATCGCATGCCTGACAAGTTGGGTTACCTGATTGCATCCCATAGTAATACCAATTACGTCTGATTACCCTGCTGGCCGAAATTTGTGCCATTGTTACCCCCCCCCCTACCCCACCACACACACACGCACGCACGCACGCATGCATGCACGCGTTGAGTCTGGCGCCCCCCGCCACTGTCAGGGCGGTGGATCCTTACCCCGTCCGCTCCACACCCCCCCCCCCAAACTAACAGAAAAACACCTTACACGCTACAGCTGACGTGAATTTGTATCCCCAAGACTTCCAGACTGCAAAATCCAACTAGATTTAGTGGATTTCTACTTACGTGAGAAGGGATATATTATGCCAAAGCATTACTGTAACTTTCATTGGAAAAGTTTCTGTTTTGCTCTGTGCTAAGAACGCTGTCTGGACCTCCCCTTCATTTCTGAGTGATAGTTTATGGTCAATTTGGCCTCTTTTGCCTTTATTCTTCTCAACATGTAGAAAAAGGTACTTTTGACCGAAGTTGCCTCGCATTTTTGTGAGCAGGATCTTGCGTCACCTCTGTAAACCACTCCCCATTCCCGCCTAGGCTGACTTTTAGGGTGCGCTAGATGCACTATCAGCAGCATGTCGCTTATTTCTTCTTACCTCGGGTTCAAATTTTAGCAAGTGTATATGTTTGGCTTTACTTTTGTTTGTGTAATGTCGATGTTTTCGCTTTTATGGGCGTGTCCTGATGCGACATGCACATCAATGTCCTTACTGATGCTACGCCTCATTTGCCAGCATACACCAAATGATCAGCATCGTTCAGATCTATCACTTGCTGTCCATTCAGGTTTACAGGCAAACAATCTCATACAGAACACATTAATCTACCCAACGGAACGAAAAAAACAATTAATTACTGTTTCCGACACGTCATAAGGGTAATTAAGATATCTGTTGTACTTTTATTTCAGACTGCCAGGTGGCGCTGCTTATATCAAAATTTTGACGCAACTTTATTGACCCGTTGCTTGGTAACGGAGTGACGTGAGACAAAATCTTTCTCAGAGATTGTTAGGGGATGTATATTCTCTCATTTAAAGACACAATCTTAATAATCAATGGTAATTAAGGTCTCATTCATGTATTACTCCGAGTGTACCCCCTAAAAGAGTACCAAGTCAAAAACTAAACGGCTGTATGAACGCGTGTTTTTATTGGTGAGAATTTCCCCTTTAGCCATCCCAACTGATGTAAAACGTCAAAGCAGTGAAAGCTTGTTTGTAACTGATGAAATTAGGACGTAATTGTCGGTAGCCGCGCGCAAGGTCGGACGTGCACAGTCCAGTGTTGTGAGTTGTGCGGTCGTAGGTTTGCAGCGTGGGAGGGCCTCTTGCGGGCAGCCGCTAGGTGCAGTTTGTATTTCCCATAAAAGGGGATTGTGTGTATAGAAGTCGTTGGCAATTTTTTTATGAGATGTAGAGTAAGTGTGCTCAACATAGCATGAAAGATATCAATTGATTTAATGTAGGATCATAGGGAACCCGGTCTCGTAAGTCGCTCATTAATGCATGGTTTCTAATGTATGGAAAAAACTCATGAATGAGACCATAAATAAACTATGCCAGATTTTTTTGGGTTTCATGTATAAAGAGAGTAGTGTTACAATTTATTAACTTCTCCAAATTAAAGAATTAGTTACTTTAATAATCTGTTAGAAATTCTGTAGTGTATTTCACACAGGATGAGACAGGGCTTAAATAAACACTACTCTGTATAAAAGTTGTCACTGATTTTCTTTATAAGCGCATCTTGATAATTCTAAAATTCAGGAAAGTTCTACAAAGCAGCATGCCTCTGCCTGCATTTATAGGTTTAATGTGGTTAGAAACAAGGCTTCTCAACTCAGCTGGGTGCTAACTCCTTATTGTCAATCAGAAAGCCTTACTAAAGTTTAAGTCTTGGACGTCTTCCAGAAAGACTTGTCCTCTATGTCTCAAGAAATAGAGCTGCAATTAGTAGTTATTTAGACAGATAAGGTTATTTAGATAGATAAGGATACAAAAACCCACCTTCAAAGTTTTTTGTCTCTTAATTGGTGCTGGCAAGTTCTCAGATCCTCAAGGCGTCTTGGGGCGGACTTTCTTATCCTTGAGATTTATACATACACTCCAAGGAGTTTGGGAGCATGTGTGTGACCCCTGAGTAAAGGCAGCCTAATGCACTGTTGTACAGGACACACAAGGCACCCTGGGAGTAACAGGGCCCAGATGGACCACCTGGGGGAGGGGAGGATAATTGTTGTATCCTGGGGGAGGGGGAAGGATAGGGGAGGATCATTGCTGTGCCATGCGTGGGTCCACAGTGAGGGAAAGCTCATTGTTGGCGTGATAGATTACCTGTGTTGAAGGGGCAAGCTGGGGGGAAAGGGAAAGACCACTGTTGATTCCTGGGTGAGGGGGCAGGCTGGAGACGGGAGGATCATTGTCTCCTGTGAAAGGGGGAGGCTAGGGACAGGGGAGGATCATTAAATGTCATGGGTAAGGTGGCATCTTGGTGAACAGACCATTGTTGTTTCTAGGGTAAGGGGAGGGGCGGAGGATAGGGGAGGATCATCGTTGTCTCATGGATGAGCTGGGGATGGTAGGGGAGGGTCATTGCTTTCCTATGGGTGAGGGGGCAGACTGGGGACAGGGGAGGATCATTGTTGCTTAGTGGGTGGGGCATTGTGAGGGTTATATTATTGTTGACTTGGAAGTTTTACCTGGGGAGGTTACAGGCTTGTTGACAGGGGATGATCATTGTTGTCTTATGGGCAAGGGGGCAAGCTGGAAGACGGGAGGATCATTATATGTATACATATACATGACCCACACAGAATGTATGTAGTGATTATGAAACTTTAATGATGATTCATTTCAAGTTATTCAGTTTATGTAATATGCTAATATGTACAGGATTACACAAAGATACACTTTTAACTGTATAATAAAAACATTCAAAAGGTACATTACACAATACCTGGAAATGACAACTCATAACACATTGCCTACTATAGGAATAACAGCTGTACAACATAAATGGAAATATATGGAAAGTACAGTTATCATCTATGAGCTTTTAGTAGAGAGCAATGAATTGACTCCATATATCATCAGATTCTGGATGACTGTACAATTTTTACAGAGTAAGCGAAATGAGTTTTGGACGGCCTTAAAGCTCTGAAACTAAAACCCCTGTTTCTGACAGAAACCTCACTCGTAAACTGCTGTAGACAAAACATGCCTGAAGCTGAAACAGTCAAATTACTAGTAAGGGGTCCCATACAGTCTCTAAACTTAACAGTCATCTAGCTGTGATATTTTGTGAAAGAATTGCAATTTGTTTCTAGAACAATAAAGAGTCACAGAGGTACAGAATAACATACACAATTACAACAAAATGTATTCTAGTGAGACATGTATAATAAGCATGAATATGCTAGAAGAGTAGTACAATTTAAGTCTCTATCCAAATCTTAACATACTGCATATCAACAATGAAGTCTTTTGTGCACTGTTATATGTACTATGTTGCCTGCTTCCCTGAAGTATGATCAGTCTTTTTCTCCTTTCTCTTCTCAAGAAAAAGGGTCCTTTCTTCGAATTCATTACTCACACTGTCACAGGAAAATTTTGTGGTGGGACACTAGAATGAAGAAATGTCCATAAACAATGTCCAACTTTGTGGAACAATTAAACTTGATGACATTTTTCTAGGAATTGTTCTACTATCTGATTTACGAACTCAATTTTTTGGAACAATTTAACTTGTTAAATTTCTGGTGTGTCGAATTTTTTTCTAGTTCAATTGTCTCGCAGATGCAATTTCACTATATAATTTCCAACTTTGCTATCTTACAAACAGGTACACTGTGCTTGTGGTGTTGCCTAGCGGGTTACTAGCATGACAGACGTATCTTCCTACATCCCTCCTATTTACAGTCTTTATCTTTAAAGTCCCATTCTCCAACAGTTCAAACCTTCCCTGGCTGCTCGAAACTTTCTTATTGTTCGGTAAGGTCCACTTCCTGATCGGTTCGGGGCAGCCGGGGATCTGGCATCGCAGCTGTGCCTCGTTTCCCGTTGCCATGACAACGCTGTACGGAGCCGATCGCGCTCGCGGCGCCGTCGCCTTCACCGCGTCCGTCTCCCAGAGCTTCTCGCCGCGTACCCGGTCGGGGGTCGCGCAGGTCGCGTCGATGATTCGCTCGTCCGTCCGGCTGAGGATCCAGTAGTGGTGGTACAGCAGCTCGCACGTGCAGTGGAACGGATTGTTTCCGAGGTACGTGGAGTTCTGGTACCACGTGAACCACCGGTCCAAGGTCGTCAGGTTGTTGAAGGTCAAGTCCAGGTCCTCGAGCCGGCGGAGGTTTTCGAACGCGCTTTCGATCCCCGGTGCGTTGAGCTCGTTGTGACTTATGTTCAGCCACCACAAGTGTGGAGTGGTCTCAAAACACTGCTGTACGGAATGGAGCTTGTTGAAGGAAAGATCTAAAACCTGTAGCAACTTCAGTCCTTCGAGCACACCTGTTATATTAGTCAATCCGTTCCTTGTCAGATCTAAACTCCTCAACTTGTCAAGCTTGCTGAAGGCTCCCCGCATGTCCGAGAGAGAGTTGTTTCCAAGGTAAAGCGATCGTAAGTCTAAGCTATCCAGGTGACCGTTGATGTGACTGACTCGGTTGTCGGTTAGATCCAGGTGTTGGATGGAGTCCACTCCGGTAAAGGCGCGATCGAGAGACCGGATGCTGTTACTGCTAAGGTTTAGCCCGACTAAATCATGACTATCGTCGAAGGCGTCTGTGATTTTTGAGATGTAGTTGGAAGTCAGCTGAAGCCAGGAGAGGCGGGGGGTCTTCTTGAAGGCCTTGTCGATGTTGGTGATCTTGTTGTTGTCAAGATTCAGGTCTGTGAGAGAGTTTAGGTCTTCAAAATGGCCGTTCACGTCTTGAAGTTTGTTGTGGCCCAGGTGGATGTAACGTAGGGCGGACAAACCTGCGAACGCTCGGTCCAGAAATCTGATGTTGTTGTGACTCAGATCAACGGACTCAAGCTTTTCCAACCCCTCAAAGACTCGGTAAAGGGAGTCAATCTTGTTGTCTCGTAGATCGAGCCATTGAAGTTCTTTAAGAGTGTTCTGGCTGTTTTCGTTGAACACTTTTTTGATGTCGCGAAGGCTGTTTCCAGCAAGGTATAGTTCCTTCAAGTTTTTCATCCCTGCGAAAACACCCTTTACATGGTTGATCTGGTTTCTACTAGCATCTAGGTGTCTGACACTCTGCAAACTGTTCAACCCATTCACAAGGAAGAGGATATTGTTGTGGTCTAACTTTAAAGTTGCAAGATTGTCAAGTCCTTTGAAACCCTCAGAGATGGAGATGATCTTGTTGTGGCTTAGGGTGAGCCAGCGAAGCTTGGAGAGACTGGAGAAACCGTTTCGTATGGAGGTGATGACGTTGTGCGAAAGATCGAGGAACTCTAACTCCGGTAGGTTACTGAAGACACGATGGATGTGCTTAACGGTGTTGTTGCTAAGATGAAGTGTCCGTAACTTGTTCAAGTTCTTAAAGGCGTCACCGATGGATTCAATCTTGTTGCTACTCAGATGCAGGTACTCCAGTTTTGACAGGTTTGAGAACAGCCCCTCTATGTTTCCTATCTTGTTCTTGCTTGCATCTAACCACTTCAGGTTGTAAAGGCTGTTAAAGAAGTTAATATCAACCTGATCAATACTGTTATAATCAATCAGTAACTCCTCTAAAACATTAGGGCCTTTTATGAGTGATGTAAGTGAAGTAAGTTTGTTGCTTGTCAGGTGTAACGTCTTAAGATTACCCAGGCCTTGGAAGACGTCTTCAACTGACGTGATCAGGTTGTTCCTCAAGTCCAGGTGCTCAAGTTTCCTCAGGTCATTGAACCCACTGTCCAGAAACTTGATACCATTGTTGCTTAGTAACAGTTCTCTGAGGTTCTCCAGCTTCTTGAGGGAAGTTTCCAGCCTCTCGATCTCATTGTGCTGCAGGTCCAGAACTTGGAGTTCCGTGAGCTCGTCAAGTTCGTACGCGACCGTTTTGATCCTGTTGAAGCTCAGGTCAAGTTCGATCAAGGTCGTGAGCCCCCGCAGAGCGTAGTCTAAGTATTCTATCTGGTTGCTACGAAGATTTAGCTCCTGTATCTCCCGCATGCCTTGGAACGGGTAGCGCAGGGTTTCGATGTTATTGAAGCTCAGGTCCAACTCCCATATCTTGTTCACCCTCCTGAAGGAGTCTTCGCTCAGCCTTCGGATGTTGTTGTGAGGCATTTCCAAAGTTCTTAAGTCTGTGAGAGCCGTGAGTTGCCCATCTAACTCAGACAAGTCATTGTATGCCAGTTTCAGCACCCGGATTCTACAGGGTGCAGAAAACGTGTCTGATAGAGAAGTCAGGTTGTTATAGCTCAAGTCCAAGTACCACAGTCTGGGTATTCCCTCCATCAGTCCTTCTGATGACACAAGCCAGTTGTGACTCAGGTCCAGTTTCAGCAGCCTGCCCAGGCCCACAAATGAGCGGTTCACGTCCACTATCCGGTTCCATTTCAAGGTCAGCTGCACCAGGCTGCCAAGGTCGTGGAAGGTTCCATTGTGGAACAGGTAGATGTTGTTGTGACTCATGTCCAAGAACTGGAGGCTGGTCAGCCCCTGGAAGGTCTGGTTCGTGATGTGGGTGATGTCGTTATACTTTAAGGACATGGAGCGGACTTTCTTAAGATGCAAGAAGGCCTTGGCTTTAAGGACTTTCATGATGAATCCTTCCATCTTGAGCCAGACGGCAGAAACGGGGACGTTGTCCTGCGTGTCCAAGAAGAAGTGGTAACCACGACAACGCACGCTCATCCCCCAGGCCGGGTTGTTGTCGCAGGTGCACAGGTCGGGACAGTAGTCGGGGTCAGGGGTCGGAGTTGGAGCTGTGACCTCGGGCGGGGTCGTCGCCCTGACGATGTTGTCGTCGCGGCGACTTGGGGGAAGCACTGTGTCAAAGTTCGTTCTTCGACTAGTCGGCGGAGGTGGTGTGGTCAGTCCTTCCACGGTTATAAAGACCACATTCTCATCTTTGCCATTGACGTTCTCGGCTATACAGTGATACACGCCTGCCTCGTGCTTCTGTATCTGTCCTATGAACAGAGAGCCTTCGGATGATACGCTGGTCCGAGGAGCTCGATATCCCAACTCTAACACTTCAGACTTGGGCGTTTTCCAGCTGAGTTTAGTGATGGGGCACTCGGTTGTGCGACAGTCGATTCTCACATCCTCTCCTTCTTGCACTGTGAGGAAACTGTCGGACATTCTGATCCAGGGTGGGTCGCTGTTAGTAGCAAACTCTTCATCCGGTACGTCCCAGATCTTTTCCCCGAACACACGCCTGGGCCGTGAGCAGGTCACGTTGATCTGTTCTCGGTCGTTTCTCGTTGCGATCCAGTTCCTCATGACCAGCATGTTGCAGCCGCAGTGCCAGGGATTGTGGGATAGGCGCAAGTCATTGCCATGGAAACTGGTCGTGTTGGCGACCATGGTGGAGAGGGAGTTGTGCTCGAGGTTTATCGTCCTGATCTTCGGGAGGAAAACGAAAATGCTTCCGTCCGCAAGGGAAGATATCCGGTTGTGGCTCAAATCCAGCAGACGCAGATTGCGAAGCTCTCGGGAAGAAAACTTGACAGACCGGATGTCATTGTGCTGCAGGTACAGGGAAGTTAACGCTCCCAGGGCACCAAACACTCCAGTGACGTCCTTAATCTTATTATGGCGCAGGTCCAACTGTTTTAGCTGTGACAGCCCAGGAAAGGCACCTTGGACTGAGGAGATCTGGTTATAGCTGAGGTCGAGTTTACGCAGTTTTGTGAGCCCTACAAGCGTGTCTTCTAGTGTTCTCAGCTTGTTGCGTGTCAGGTACAGGTTCTGTAGCTGACGTAGCTCTACTAACTTGTTCTGCATGGATTCGATCTTGTTGTTGGTGATGTGGAGGTCCACGAGATCGTCCGCCCCAGCGAATGCGTTGTCATCAACAGTTACGATCGCGTTCTCACGAATAGAGATGTAGGTGAGTTTGGGGTACACTGTGAAGGCCTCTGCCGGTAGGTGGGACACCTGGAAGTTACGGATGTCCACGAGGAATGTGTCACGAGGGAAGCCGGTCGGGAACGTCGTTTCGGTGTCTTTTCCGTCGCAATCGGTCCGCCAGCCGCCATAACCGTCGGTTGTGCAGGTACACACAGGCGGGCATCCATCCACAAAAGCTACTTTTATCAGAAACAAGAAGATAAACGCACCACAGAACATGGTTGTTACACTTGCACTTGACTTTCCTCGGTCAAACTCTGCAGTCCTGAAGCACTCTCAGAGTCCCCATTGTCCGGTGGAGCAGGAAAGAGCTGTTGTTTCCATGTTTGAAGGTCGGGGAATGAATGAAGGAATTCTTCCCAAGGTAGGTCAGTTCCTGAGGTAGGGCTCTGCTTCCAATCTGCTGCGCATTATTTACACAACGTAAGTGCCAAGGCGGCTTCTCGCAATCTGGGCATTCCTTCAGGCCAAACAACAATATTTACCACTTCTGAGGCGCACGCAACCTTGAAAAGTCCCTTTCTTGCACGTCAGACGCTGTTTTGATCATTGAGTTGTGGCTTTCCAGCAGCATTTTTGGATCAACTTCATGTGTTTTTTTGCTTGTGCAGCATGTTTTTGTATCCAGAGGTAGTTGGGTAACTGCCACCTTACACAACACTGCTCCAGTTTGGTCCAGTTTTGGGACGCTGACCTCTCTTCACCTCTGTCTTACTTCTTGGGATGGTTGTTGTACATCATCCTGCTTTGCCAGCTTTCTGAAGAATGTGTTGCTTCTTTCTTGTAGCCTACTTTCTCCTCACGACTTCCTGGCCACACAAACAGCAGTACCTCTGTGGACAGGTAGAAAACAGGTCACACAAGATGAGCCACAACAAACAACACTGTTTTGTAACTACAGTAGTGATCTACAAGACATCCTTTTTCAAAACACAGTGTTGTAAAACATCTAAAGATACAAAACATCAGAATTATTCTGGCTTGTTTTAGAACTCTTAAAAGCTCAGTTAAATGAAGATGGTAGAAAATATACTTGAAGTTTTGTACTTGTCAATGAAATGCAACACAAGACACTCTAACGAATGAATGTGAAAAGTCAATGTGAAGGATCACAATGAAGACAAAGTACCAGTAAGATTTGTGTGATCAGTGACTTTAATTGTGATGAAGGGCAGTGATCAACCATAATTTCAGTTTTTACAGTAAGATTACTAAGAAAAAACCTCACATGCCCTTGCTACTTAAAGATTTATGATCAGGTCCAGGATTTCCTGAAGATCAAGTGCAAGGTTACCCCAAAACCGGCAGGACTGTCTACAGCTGGTTCTGTACTCTGTTCCACCCTGCTTTCTAACAAAGACACAGAGGGACTAGTGTTCAGTATGTAAAAATGAGGTAAAACTTTTTACCTATATACAGAACAGGTGGCTTATACCATTGATACCTACACAATATCAGCATTTACACTAATTCTTGGACTGGTCCACATGTTTCTGCAGAAAAAGTAACTGTTACATATCATTCGTAAAGTTTTTTCCCCAGCAAAGTTGAGCAAAGAGCAACAGAACAGTTACATAGTCATCCCTATGTCTGGTTTGGTTCAATGTAATGGTGTCATGGTCAAAGCTGGTACAGTTAATGGTCAAGGTCTGTCTGGGAGCAGTGTTTGGCTTTAGTAGTTTGATCATAACATGGCAACTGGTCTTTTTTATAGGTATTGCTGTGGTACAATGTATATTACTAAACTAGCAATCCTCAAATGAAATCATTGTCAATCGATCTTAAGAAACTTTTAAACTTGCTGGAATTGGAACACTCTGCCTCATATGTCCTAGAACATGGAAGCCTCTAAGTATAAGTCAACCGAAACAAAACACATTATTACACCTTCTATATCATATTATTAAGATCGTCTCAAACAGTTGGGTCAAGATTTTTTTGTAAGGTGGCAATCTTGAGAAGACTTTGAAAAAGTTAACATGTACAATGTCATGTACTCTGTTTTGTCAAGCATTGGGTTCTGACAGCCAAAACAAACACGAGTGTTTCCCTCTCCTGTTGTGCTTGGCCCAGTTCTGGTTTATTTTTCCTTCAGAACTTTACTGGTGATCAACATGAGGAACAGCCAGGGCCATGAGGGCTGGAGGTCAGGTGAAAACAAGGAAGTCCTGTTAGGCAACATCAACTCAGTATTGTAGATACCTGTGACTCCAAATCTGATGCAACAGTACAAAGAAACTGTTGTTAGACTTAGATTACAGGGAAGAAAAATGCAAGAAACCTCTTTCAAAATGAATGGTCGTGTTGTATTAGAATTTATAATTTGAAGATAACCATGTATATGTGACTGTGAATTGACACAAAGTTGAAAAAAAGGTTTTCTTAGCTTTTATATTATTGAAGAGGCAATGTGTTTTAGCACTATGAAAGTCTTTTGTCCTTGAATGAATGAAAAAATGAATGGATAGTTGGAAGTCAATTGATCCATCCAAGTTATCTTCTCAGTGACTACCCGTCACTTTCAACTCAAGCCTGTCATAAATTTGCCAAGAAAGATTTCATCCATTTTATGGCGGTGATACTACATGTTATTGTACTATTTGTAGCTGGCCAATTTTTAATAGGTGCATGGAGGCAGCAATGCTGTGACCTTAGGTTATACTGAAGGCATATTCTAAGGCTAAGACCTTGTGGCATTTCCCTTTTCCGCACATGTTCTGATCATCAAAGGTTGTTATGTCTGAGTCAGGGCTCCAAATTTGTTTTGGTCGTCAATCATGAATAAGGGAACTGGTGCTGCAAATCTAAAAAGTTCTGTTAACATAAATATTTTGTGTTCGTAACATAGAATAAAGTAGAAATTCACCAAAAGCTAATGAAGTACAAATGTTTGAATTTGGGCCAATTTTGCAAAGATGCAAACCTCCTAAATACCCTGTTAAAGTTGTATAGCCTGTCGAGCTGTTTCGGGGCAGACAAGAGTTAGACTGGGGTCAGTTAGACTTTATTTTTCCCACTTGTGTGTTAATTATAGCACAAACCTTTGCCCAACAGTTCTGTCTGGCATTTTCATGGATGGCTCTTAAGTCGTTTAGAGCTGTCAGTTTGAGTGAAGTGGACCATGTAAAGTTTTGTTAATTGTCCTTTTGAATTGTTGCCAAATTGAGGGAGTTGCAGGTAATTAGGAAAAGGTTGTATTTTTTTAGTGTGAAAAATGAATGTGATTAGTCAAACTTAGGTAAAAAATTTCTGTCACTGAAAGTTTAATTTCTTTGAGGCTTTGAGAACTCTTAAGGCTAAATTTAAGGATACAAAAGCTCCCTTAACTTAAGTGTTGCATCACCTACAATATCCTAGAAAGTACAACCCAGCTTGAAGCTTTTAAACTTTAAAGCGATGACATCATGTCTGTGTACATTTCCCCAGCCTGCTGTCATCACACATGTACACCCTGCCCCCTCACTCACTCCTGCCTGCCCCCTCACTCACTCCTCACTCCTGAGACTGTTTTGGCAACTTGGGAGGAACCAGCAAACCTTTCCAAAGGAGTATAGCCTGGATACCAGATTGTTTTCAGGGCCTGCACAGACCAGCTTCTGGGTGAAAGGCCAACATGCCCACAAGGAATGAAGGAAATTCTGTCTTGGCCCCCTGAGTTAGAGGAACAGGTCTAATTTGGGTCAGGCTGCTGACTGTGGTAAAAGAGAACTCGCGTGTTATGCCATGTGCATCTTGCCTGTTTTTTATTTCACATGCTGGCATGTGTTTTTACTAGCCCAAGTCCCTGGGCCTTTTTCTGACAGGCTACACAATTTTCTGTATATAGGGTAAGTAATTGAAATGAGCATCATAAAAATTCACTGCAGGTGCACACTAATTAACTTGTTTGTACTGGCAACACTCCCAGCACTGTAGGAATACCAGGAAACCCACGATGTACATGACATGTATCATACGATGTATGGTTACCAGGCTAGTGACAGACTGTTTCCAGGGCCTACACAGGCCAGTTCCTCGGCTCCAGGGCCAACATACATAAATTGTACCCCCAAGGAAATTATACCACAGTCGACAGTCCCCTGTTCCTTACTTAGCCCGGGTGCCAGGCTGTTTCCAGGGCCTACACAGGCGAGTTTCTGGCTCAGGAACCAACATACCCCCAACGAAATTATACCACAGTGCCCTGTTCCTTAGCCTGGGTGCCAGACTATTTCCAGGACCTACACAGGCCAATTCCTCAGCTCCCGGGCTAGCCTGGGTGCCAGCCCCTACCGCGAATAACCCTTTCAGCCAAGGAAGCCATATGTTTGGGTCTGGCATCCAGGCTAGTGACAGCCAGGCCAGATTCAGCCAATACATCAGCCTTAGACTACGACTTGCCAAATTTCAGCCCAGCAGAACTGGGACGTGTGACCCGGACTCTTGTCTGTCTACAGGCAGGGTTTGTGTAGTAACCTTAGAGAGACCCCATCTCAGAGTGCAATAAATATATTGGCAGGAATCGTGGCTTTCAACACCATACCTACCAAAGGTGCAGGACCTACAGACCTTGAAGTTCAACTTCATGTGATACCATGTAATTTCTAGTGGACCTTTTAACCTGTGCGTAACTAGTCTCTACCAGACACTGGCTGGAAAGTAGTAAAATTTAGCGGAATGGGGAAAATAATTTGCCTTGGGAGTTTGGCCACAAAAGAGTTAATTTGCCCCTGCAAGGGGAATATTACCCTTACCATGGGATCACTTTCCTGGCTAATTGTTCACCCTATTTGTCTGCCAAATTCTACTATCCACAACCCCTTTAAAAAAACCCTTTAGAAGGTCTGTTGGAGGCTATAACCTCTGTAGTCCTTTCCTGTTGTGTAACACATGATCTCATGACTCCAGACATATGGAACAGGTTAAACCTTAGACCTGCCGGTCTCCGTTTCTCTGTTTATGTGCGTGCACAATGTCTGTTTGAATATTGACTCTACAGGTTAATTTTCAAGAAAGTAGAGATATCAGATGTACTCACAGATAGCCTGGTGGTATAGAGCCTTGCCAGATGATATCCTTGATCCCTGTCCAGAGTTTTGGGGGGAAGAGCGAAGATTGTGCCAAGCCGCCGGCCGGTGTTTCTTTGTCATGTGGTAGAAGTGTGCTGAGTCCTGTTTGGCTGTTAGGAGAGACCCTGTAGGCCTGTGTTAGTCAGGGGGAGGACAGGAAATCTCACATGTGGCTCAGACCTGACCTCAGGTCAACCCTGGAGGGGACTAACCACTAGATGGTCTCTGTTAGGGGTGAACCATTGTTTATTGAGTCTGAAGGACACCGGTGAGCTCAGGCTGTCACTGCTTGCCTGGTAGCTGCTTTCAATTACTGACTCTTAGGCACAGTGGGCTTGTACAGTAGATAGAAATTCTATAGAGGAGCCAAAAATTGAGAACAAACAACTTGTACAAGTTTGCTTACATCATTTTATATGCTAGATGGATGACTCAACTGTACAGTGTACATCAACAAGTGGATTTCTGTACTAATTTAATGAACCACTAATTTTCTTTCTAATATTGTACATTTAGCACCATACTAATAAATAAAAATAATACTGACATTGTGACAGTAGTAGATTCTATCTTATGACAAGTCATTCTGCTGGATTTTTATCATAATTATTTTAACAAAAGATGAATTAGAAAATTAGAAGGTGAAAAATTGATGATACAATTCAAGCATTAAATTTCATACCTAAAAAATGTACTACAAAATGCAGGTTATTTAGTGTTGGTAACACACAGCAAGGGTTTGAAGCAACTACAAACATATTATATATATAGATCATACATTGTTTACAGAGCATTTCTCTGATAGATTGTAGATTACGAAGTACACAAAGATGACAAGCAGGGTAAGGGAAGGGGTATCTACACAGTGGCACACTGTGCTTCTCATAGTGTTACTGCTACTTTAAGTCCTATTGCCTATGTTACTTCACATATTATTCTCTCAAAGAACATGTAGGCATCTTGTTTCTTCAGACACAGCTTGGCAACTCGTGTAGAGCTCCCCTGCACATTGCTAGACACACACTTAATCTTCCCAATGTCCATCTCATCCACTTCCTCGATGGTCAAAACACTCACCGACCCAAACTCTTCCACCGTGTAGCCCGGTTCGACCTTTTCAGGTGTGACTGTCTTGTTGTTGGCGAGTACCCAGGATATCTTGGGTTTGGGGCATCCCCGAGTCTCGCAGTAGAGCGTGGCGTCCTGTCCCTTCCTCACGACCACGTGTGTCCTGTTCATCTGCATCTTCGGCGCTCCCTGGATCCCCGAGTCCCAAATGAACTTCCCTTGCGTGTTCTTGGGGGTTGTGCATGTTACATTGACCTGGCTTTTGTCTGATCGCCTGTCTAGCACGATTATGAACTGTAGCATGGAGCAGCTACAGTGCCAAGGGTTGTTGCCAAGTCGTAAGTGAGTCACGTAGATCGGCAGCCACCACTGGTTGTGTACCGAAGTCAGCTTGTTGTGGCTGAGATCCACGAGCCCCAGGTAGCTCTGGTGAGCAAACGTGTTCTTGATGCTGGTGATCTGGTTGTTGTTGAGGTAGACTTCCCCCAGGAATGGGTTGTTCGTGAACGCCATTTCGGTGTAGCGGATCCGGTTGTGGCTTAAGTCCAGCGCGTTGAGGTTTGGAGAGTCGTAGAACATGTAGGTGATGTCATTGATGTGATTGTAGGCTAGGTCTAGCACACGCATAAACGGCATGGCCGCAAACGTGTGCTCGATGAACCCGATGTTGTTGTTGCGCAGAAACAAGCTGACAAGGTTGGGAGCTTTGATTTCCTTTGTCAAGTTCCCCAGTCGGTTGTGGCTCAAGTCCAGGATCTCCAAGTGTGTCATCTGGCTAAAGTCGATCTTCAACTCCTGTATCTGGTTACAGCTCACGTTCACAAACTCTACAGCTTTCAAACCCAACATCTCTTTCCCCAGGTACGTCAAGTTATTGTAGTGCATGTGCAGCCACCGCACATTCCGTAGGTTACGGAACGCCTTCCCGATGGTCACAATTCCGTTGTTGTTTAGATGCAGCTCGTCGAGAAAGTGTAGATCGGAGTAAGCATCGTCGAGGTTGGTAATCTTGTTGAAGCTTAGGTCGACGATTTGAAGGCTCACGAGCCCGTCCAACCCGTGGCGTACTGACTGGATGTTGTTGTGGCTGATGTACATCCCGTGGAGGTGCACCAGGTTCTTAAACTCCCCCCGGATGCTGCTGATGTTGTTGTAGTTAATGTTGACCCATCTCAGCTTCTTCATCCTCCTTATTGCCTTGTCCAGGGACTGAATCTTGTTATGTTGAAGATGTAGCTCCTCCAGATTGTCCAATACCGAGAAGGCTGTGGCTATGCTTGAAAGGTGGTTATGACTCAGATCTAACTTCTTAAGGTTGCCAAGGTTCTTAAAGGCTTCATAGATCCAGTACAAGCTGTTATTGCTGAGGTCAAGAACTTTGAGGTCAGTCAGGTCTTCAAAACCGTCCTTAAGGTGGTTGAGCTCGTTGTGGCTGAGGAACAGCCACTTAAGTTTTGACAGCTTCTTTAAGGAACTACCCAAGGAGCCGATCCTGTTGCTTGTGAGGTCCAAGTTTGTAAGGTTGACGTTTCTGCTGAATCCGTTGCCCAAGTTGTTGATGGAGTTGTTTGCTAAGTTCAGGGATTTCAGTCTCTGTAAGTTGTGAAAGGCTGAGCCAAGAGAGTAGACCAGGTTGTGCTCTAGGTGTAAATACTCAAGAGAGGGGAGATGGTGGAACAGACCGTCGATGTAGTCCAACTTGTTGTGGCTTAGATCAAGAACTTGCAGACTCCTTAACTCATGGAAGCAGTAGCGGACAGTGTGGATGTTATTGTGGCTCAGGTCCAGCTCGATCAAGTTTGGCATGTCGTTGAAAACGGCGTGTAGAACAGAGATGTTGTTGTGTCCGAGCTTCAGCCAGCGGATGGGCAGCTGTCCTGTGATGAAGGAGTTACGGACGTGGTCGATCTTGTTGTACCTCAGATCCAGGAACTCCAGCTGTTTCATGGAGTCAAAGTCGCCGTACAAGGCATTAATCTTGTTGTGACTCAGACTCAGCTCTCTGATTGCTCGGTTGTTACTGAAGGCTCCATCAATGTTTTTGATGTCGTTACTCTGCAGATCCAACACCTCCAGCCGTGGCAGGTTGTAGAAAACATTGTGGATGACCACAATCTGGTTGTGGCTGAGGTACAGCTGCTCCAGTTTGTTGTTATGGTGGAAGGCGTACTCCACCGACGTGATGTTGTTGTGCTTTAAGTCTAAAGTCACGAGGTTAGGCATGTTGGGGAAGATGCCCTTTACAGACGTGATGCGATTGTGGTCAGCCATCACTCTCTTAATGCTCCATGTCCCGTTGTGCTTCTTACTGAAGACATTTCCCAGTGTTGACAGCTTGTTGTAGCTCACCTTCAGTTCTTGTAGAAGCGTCATGTCCTCCAATGTTCCATCAATGCTCGTGAGTTTGTTATGGCTGATGTCGATGGCTCGCAGCCTGGTACAGTTCTCCATGGTACCCTCTATAGTGGTGAGGTTATTGTGTGCCAGGATGACAACACTCAGGTACCGTAGATGATTCAGAGTGCCCAGCTGTAGTAGCTCATTGTGGTGTACGTACAACCTTCTTAACTCCGGTACTTCTTTTAAGAATTCGTCAAGCGTGTTGAAGTTGTTGTGTGACAGATCCAACGTCTTGACACCGGGAACCCACTTAAAGATTCCTCGCAAGTCGTTCAGCTCGTTATGGCTGAGGTCAAGTTCGTTTAACTCATGGATGGCAGCAAGAGCGTCCGGGTAGATGTGGACCAAGTTGTTGTGTCGGAGGGAAAGAGAGCGAAGGTACGGTGTCTGGACAAAACTGTTAGGCTGGAGGCCGTTGGTGAGGATGTACTGGGAGAGGGACAGCCAGAGAGTTCTCTGTGGGTATTCGTCCGGCAGGAATAAGATGTCGTAGCCGCGGCAGTCCACGTACACGCCGGAGTCGAACAGCCACTCACACTTACAGGCAATGGGGCAGTACACTGGCTCCACCTCCTGTAGGGGGGTCTCATACCCGGTGAAGTTGGCTGTGGTTTCTTGGGAAACAGCATCGTCAATTGTTGTAAACAGAAGTACAACCAATACCCAGGTACAGGTCATCCACCTGACATGGGATGGTAATATGTGGTGTGGTCTACTGGGTGTTGCCATTGTTGCTGCTGCTTTTGATGGTGTTTTTAATCTTTAGTTTTCTGTGGAAAGAGAGAAAGGAAGATTCAGAATTGATACATTGTATAGAATGGTAGATTGGTAGTCAGGGAATATATCTTAAAGCAGGCCAGACTTAAGTTCTCCCAATGATCATAACAAGGACATTTGTAATGCAGGTTATACATGTGCATTGTTTCATCAGGGAAGGCTCCATTTTCCATTCAAGTTTAATACAGAGGGCCCTACAACTTAGTATAAGATACCTATGGCTGGCCAGTTGTCATGACTGTTTATCTGACTGTGCATCTAGCCAGTAGTCCCTAAATGTATCTAGTGGACAGTCCCTAGTTGTTCTGGATCCCCGGATGTTGTTCAGCCTCCTGGATTTGTATTTGGTAAGCAGTTCCTATGTTGTTCAGGGTCCTGAGTGTTTTTGTTGACATCCCTGTGACAGCCTGATCTCACATGGACTACTAACCCCAGGAACAGGTCATGCTAAGGTAGGCACTGTTTATAAGAACATGGTGAAGGAACTTTATTGGCACAATATGAAGTGCAGCGACTTTCTTAAGGTCAGCTACAAAAATAGAAAATGAATCCTAATGTTCTACTTACTAAACAAGGTGTATATAATTATTGGTAATGTACAGTGTTTTGGCACACAGGCATTTCTGGAGCTATGTTATAACATTTTAACAAACTGCACTGCACAATCACATGTTTTGGACTGACAGGCCCTCCCAAAACCCCCACTTCCCCATTATACAGGGAAGGAAAGTATCAGGAACTTTGATATGGCTTTGACACTAGCGCCAAACCAAACTTCAAACGCATGAACTGTTTTCAGGTCACTACTAAAGCCTGAGTGAAGTCCTGCCAAACCACAGAAACAGGAACCGGTGGAAAGTTGGCAACTTGTTGCAAGCCGGCACTGGCTAGCTTTTTCAGCTGTCAAAACTGGATAGAAACTTTCAGAAGATTTGCTTATTTGAGTGTTGACATTCAATATTTTCTTTGGTATTGTCATGGCAATTTTGACAGTTTTCTTGTTTCTGTGAATGAAGTGAAGAATTCCAAATGAATAGCAAGGGATTTCTAAAAGTTTTATACCTTTCTAAACACATTAAACTAAAATTAGAGCTCAACATTTAAAACTAACTAATTATCAGCAATAAGTAGCTAGACTAACCTGACAACAAGATCTCCAGTTACCCAATTACCAAGGAAAATAATTTGTACCAGATTCTTGGGGAAAGCACAGGTCAGAAATACCCAAAGAAAGCTGGTAGGTCTGAAGAAGTTGGAGTTTAAGTTCCAAGAACTCAAGTCACATGTTGAATGCTGTTATCTTTGACGTATGTCTTCAAGACCATATAATACACACTGTATCTAATAGTATCCAATTAAAAATGATGAATAGACTCTTGGCATACTGTTTGGAACTAATTAATTATCACACTAATTAGCCTCATCAGATAAGAAACACAAACCAATTGCTAAAGAAAACAACTTGATACACCTCATGGGGGGAGGGGAGGGCAGAATTCTCAGAAAGCCACATAGCTGGTATAATAGACCCTTATAAGTTTACAGAAAAAAAAATCAAGAAGTTGGTTTAGAAATTTGCAAGAGACCAGGTCAAAGAGTGTGGTTCTTACCTGTTTGTGCATGAGTGAGAAGACAGTGGATTTGGGTTGTGGGTCCTCCTCACAGCATACTGCTAGACTTGAGCAGTGAGTAGTCAGACCTGTGGGGTTTGTGCAGCACCTCTAGACTGGGGTGACCTGTCAGGAGCACCAAACATGTGGAAAGAGTCTGGTTTCTCAACAAACTACAGACAGGAGAGTGAGACCAGCCCTGGGGGAAGACGGGTGGCTGTGGTCACTGCAGGCACCATGCTGGCAGTCTGGGGAAGTAACTAGAGCCTGTATTAATATACCTTTGGCTCCATAAAATCTGTCTCTGTATCAGATTCTGTATAGCCAGGATAACTGCCCTTTGGCATAACACAACAGCTAATACTGTATTGTATAAAAGGAGAGGGAATAGTTACTGTTTTTACTATGTTTCTTGTAGCTTCCTCTGGTTTCTGAACAAACTTAAATTGAGATCAGCCCTAGGCCCTGGAAGTGAAGGGTTGGCTCTGGTCACTGAGATTTACAAATGTATAAAAGTCTGGGGAAGTCTGATTTAATGTATTTCCCACCCATGTATGGGGAGAGGGAATATATACAAATTTGGGGCCTCGAATAGCATAACTCGAGAAGTCCAGGATGGATGCTAATCGTAATTTTGTATGTATGTTGGTAGGTTTTGAGGAATAACTGGAAATGATCAGATTTGGGTCCCCTGGTGGCTTTTCACAGTACTTCAGCAGAACTTCTGGGTTTGATATCTCTTGTTCTAGAGATGCTATGGTCACAATTTTTCAGTGGTATATAACACGGTCTTGTGATCAGTTGATACTAAATACAGTTGTATGTTTGTTATTTTCTGCAGAATGGACACGACGCTGGTGGATTTCTCAGACATGAGGTGGCAGCGAGGAGACCTGAGCTTCATCTTTAACGGCCACCTCAGACCCAACGTGTCCTTGGTCGTCCTCGACAACGACCTTAAGGTGTTCCAGAGAATACGATGTGAGGTGGGCATCTTCAGTGTTAAATAGATGAAAGGAAATCATGTTAACTGTGTGTATTGTAATACACTTTGTTTCAAAGCAATCAAAAGATAATCAGAACAATTGTTACATTAAGATTTTAGTGCTAGGCTAAAACATTTTGACAGGATATACATGTACATGTTGATACCACAGACTTCATGTATTCACAGTCAGTTTAACTGTGATACCAACTTTTTTCCTCTTTGAACATTGGCTCATTTTATATTACCAAAATCTAGCTCCAAAATTCTCTCTTAGGAACAAGAATACCAGAAACTTGTGTGACACTACCAGTACTTCTTATAAGATGCAAAGAATTAAGTTTATGAAATCTGGAAGCTTTTAACAACTTTGTAGAAGTACAACATGATTCTCAGACTGTCTTGTCCTGATATGTCTGTTCTTTCCCTTCTGCTGGTGGATAAAGTCTGTTTCTTCTGTGGTGAGTCCATCTCCTGACGATGTTGTGTAGTTGTCCTGTTTTTGTCCTGTTGTCATACTGTTGTCCTGTCATTTGCTACCTTGATGCACACAGTATAACTGAATTTTAGAAATTTCCAGTGAACCAGTGGGTACCTCCTACAATGTAGCTTAGAATTTTTACTCATTCCCTTCCAAATGTTTTCTTCAGGATTTCAAGTTTCTACTTGAAAATCCCTCCACCATCTCAATTTCCAGTGTTAGCTCATCTTTAGCTATGGATGTAATTTCTGTGAAATTTCCTTGTTTTACCTTTAATCATAGCACTAATTTTGTTTGTCAACATGACAGAATGACCACTCAGGTAGACAATTTTTTGTGAGTGGGCCAAATGACACGTGGTTACTTGTAAAATTTGAATGTCCCGTTCTTTTCCCTGATTGCCTGTAGGGGACATTATTAATTGTGCAATACATATATATAAAAATTTTTTTAAAATGATACAGTCACCCCAATTATGTTCCCAATGGTTTGTTCCAAATTTTGAATTTCCCGCCCTGTCCCCTGATTGGCTGCAGGAGACAGAGATGGAGATAGAGGAGGAGGTGGATGTGTTGATGAGCAGTGACGTTGTCGCAGCTCAGATGTCCACTAAAGCCATCACCTTCCAACGGGCACAGACAGGATGGGTCTTCAGGGAGGACAAAACGGTACGTCTTAAAGGCACTATCAGTATCAGAATCTTTGGTTTAAGGAATCGTCAGCATCTTAGAAGAGTAACATGAGGAAAGAGCTTATTGGAGTCTCAAAGTCTTATTAGATGGAATTTGAAAACTCAATATGCAGTGGAGATAGTGTGGAAAAAGAGACAACTTTTGTGAGGAATTTGTGTTCAAAGATTGTTTGTGTGTTCACCTTTTTCTGTTGAAATACGCTCAAACTGAGGTTTTAATTTAGTCACAGCACATAATGTCCTTGGTCACAGCTACATGTAGTTGCTGATGCTAGTGTCATCAGGTGTCACAGATATCAAATATAAGGAAACCTGCAAAAGTGACGAATGTTTTGAAATGTCCACAAAATCAATATTGTAGTAAATTTTGATGTCTTCAATCACCTTTATTTTCTGTACTTGAAATTTCCCAGGAGTCAGTGGGTACATTCTCAGCTGACTACTACCATATAGGTGGGATCCTACTGGAGTCTAGGAAAAGGTGGGTCTTCTTTAAATTTGTTTTCTATATGATCCAATACAGCCTTTCAGGAAGATCTAGAATATATATAGAATTCTCTCAACTTTGTCAACACCTACATGAAGGCAGCGGGCAAATTCAATATTGTAGTAAGTTAAACCTCAAGTCCTCAATACAATTCTATCTGGAAAGGATGTCACAACATGCAGCCTTAAAGTTTAAGGAACTTTTTGTTGAAGCTGTTCCTTGATGTTGTTCCTCAGGAGAGAACACCTGTCTGCTGAAGACCTGAAGAAGAACAAGGAGCTGCTGGACAGCCTCAGTCGGGGCTTCTTCGTGGAGAACAGCTGTGATGTGAGAAACAGCCTTCCTGGTTATCGTTGGTTGGTTTTCCTTTAATGCCCACGATCATCATAATGATCATTCTGGCATACTCATTTTCACCTGAGTGAAGTGAGGAAAGTGTATGTTGAATCCCAAGGAGACAAGGTTGGTGACTTGGCAGGATTCGAACCCTGTTGGAGTTAACAATATTGTGTTACCCCCTTGTTTTACCCCCCCCCCCCACAGCAGCCGTGTGTGAGGAGGGAGTCCATCCAGCCCCCACCCCCCTCTCCTGTCAGCTGGGAGGAGTACGTCACTGCACCTTCTGGAAGGTAAGGGGCACTGTTCTAGCCAGCGTTTCCAACTTTTGCCCAATCCGTCATTTTTGACAGACAAAAAACATCTGTAGATTTTGCAACTTATACAGTTTTGACATTAAGTGTTAAATTTTTTTTAAAAAGTTTAAAAACTTCTGAAACAACACAAAAAAGTTCTGTGAAGGGTGATGGGCCCTGATGTTTGTTTACTTGTTTACGTTTATTGTTTGTTATTACAGGTGGCCACACCTGGGCAGACCCATGGTCGTCAAGGAGTCTCGGAAATCTCTCAAGGCAACAGTTGCCATGGTAACTGCTCTTGTCACTTTTTAAAACCTCGTCTGGGACTAACTTAGGGCATGATGTGCCAAAGATGGAATAATATGAATTTTTAACAAGAAAGACAATGCACAAGCAAGGCCACTGCATAATTGTAATACTATATGAAATGACAGAAATGACAGTTCAAGTGTATGATTTGTCCATGACTCCTTACATCATCATAATGGCAAAAAAAGTATCTAACTTCAAGCTACAAAATTGTGGAGTTACTGGTCTTGCTTGTACATGTGCATGTACATATAATTGTATTGTACTCAGACTTAAAGTTTGTATTTTTCTTTCCTTCGCAGAGTGAAGAATTTCCCATCAGACTCGACAGGTAATTTTGTCAAAAATCAAATCTAATGCTTTTAACAGCATTTCAATTTTCATGTTAGTTCTATATGTTTTCTACAATGTAGTTCTAAATTTACAGTATGTACGTAGGATAGGTTAGCATAAAAGCTTGTAGTATTGTTAGTAAAACATTGAACTTTATTCCAACACACAGTTTACAGAGAGATCAAATTTTCAGCAACCACTGTCGCCTTCATCAGTGATTACTACCAACACAGATGAACTTTCATGATAATTATAGTATTGTTGTTTAACCTTGTCTGACCGTTTCCAAAATCATATCCAGTTGCTCAAGTAACTGCTTTTTGGTGTATTGTTGTTTAATACAAATGCATAGTACAATGTATAATATTCAAGCAATAAAGTTTGTTCATGCTTTAATTTCTTCCTGGAAGGAAAGACCCCACTAATGTGTCTCCCCCTGCTGTAGGCTGCTGGATGTTCTGGAGATCATCGCTCCCTTTAAGCACTTCCTGAAGCTGAGGGAGTTCGTGCAGTTGAAGCTGCCCTCTGGGTTCCCTGTCAAGATAGGTCAGTCTTCCCACAATGCTTTGGTCAGCCTCCCCACAATGCTTTGGTCAGCCTTCCCACAATGCTTTGGTCAGCCTTCCCACAATGCTTTGGTCAGTCTGCCCACAATGCTTTGGTCAGCCTTCCCACAATGCTTTGGTCTCTACTACAATTATGAGGGCCTGCCTTGGGGGTAGTGATTACGAATTACGCAAAATTTTCACTGCCAAGTACAACTTATGTTAAATTCTCAGAGCTGATTACAGACAATTACATGCTACAGCAAATGTACTGATTACGAATTACGATGATTTTCGGCGGCTGCCTACGGATTACATTTGTTTTAGGCTAATAAGGCCTGATTATGCCTAACAAAAAAGGGCATGCAGGCCCTCAATTATTACTGTTTTGAAACTGGCCCAGAATATGGAACTTCTGTGATGATGTCATTGCTAGAAGCCATTTCCTGTGTGGTTCTGAGATTCCCCTTATTTAAATGTCCTGTTAGAGGCTCAATAACTGATAAGGAAGGGAGAAAAACACATAACTCAAGAGTCAAACACATGATGCTTTACTGACTCGACAGGAAGTACAGGGACTTTGTATGGTCTTCTACATGTATATACAAGCTAAGTACATGTATGGATGAAGTCATCCTATGTGCAGAATATATGTCAGTGGCAACAATAGACAGGGTGGGACAGTAGACATGGTAGATGAGGATGTATTGTACAAAAATCAGCTGTCTTGTGCCATTAATAATATCAATAGAACTGACCATCAACAAGTATCTAATAGCTGTAACATATAATAGCCTAAAATTTTGCACCAAAGAAATGAATTGACATGTGATGTTGTACAACATTTGCTAACAAGTGCCTGAAGTATTTGGTCCTACAAAATTTCTCATGTTGTCAAGACTCCACTTCATGTTGGAACTGAAGTCAGGTATTAATTTGATACTGCCTAATTGAAGCCAAAACTCCAGTAGGAACAGAGTTTATATCTGAGTAATTGGTGCCCGGAGCAGAGTTATCCACATTCCTGCTGACTCTGATGTGGTTAGGTAGAACTGTGGGGCCCAGACTGTAGGAAAGACATGGTCTTTTGGTGATTACTGAGTGGAGAATGATGACAAACGATCAAAACAACCATGGCAGTGCAGAAAGGTCCTATACATGTAGTTACCAAGTAATTTCATAATCTGTTAAGCCCCCTTTTCATTAGGTAACGATCTACTGAGCTACTGTTGAGTGACCTAACTTGGATTTCTTTCATTGGATTAAATTGCATGGTGATGTAAGTGAGTGATTTCAAACTGACCACAAAACACGCATAAGATAAAATTTTGTTCTTTATCTGTAAAAAGTGTTGAGCAATCTGTCGTTCTGCAATCACAGTCTCTTATATTAGTGGAAGCGTAACAGTAAGGAACTGATGTTTCAAGTGATTTGTTCAAGAATCAGCTGTGATATTTGTCTCTGTTACCAAATTAAGAAAAACCTTGGCAGCTGTTGAACAATTGTCAGGGAGCTGAAAGACACAGAAAGGAATTACCAGTAGTGTTAAGGGAGAAGTCCAAAGGTTGAAAGATGTAAGATGGATGCATAGTGTTACTCTCCAAGCAGAGTTTTGGGTTTTGGGTTATTTTTGGTGTATTTTTAGACTTTTTATCAGGGTTTCTTTTTTGCACTGGAATTTTTCTTTCACCCAACCCAGCTTTCGACTGCTGGCAGAGGTTGGGTTGGGTGAGAGAAAAATTCCAGTACAAAAAAGAAACCCTGATAAAAAAGTCTAAAAACACGCCAAAAATAACCCCAATAGTATAATTTGTTGAGTTTGTAATGATATGCACAGTACAGGTTTGACTGTACATCTGTCATATATGTACTATGTATATATGTATGTAGGTTTGACTGTACATGTACATCTTAATGAAAATTAAAACCTAGTTTTTTTCCGTCGTTTTCAGAAATTCCGGTCCTCCCAACCATCACAGCAAAGATCACGTTTCAGGACTTCCAGGCGAGAGACTCCGATTATTACCCACAATCCTTCTTCCTCATCCCAAACAACTTCAAAGAAGACCCCAACAGGTTCCCTGACTTGTGAACACACCCACGGAGCAGTGGACCTGCCCAACATCTGCCTTGTTCTGCCTCAGTCTCGGCTGGTCCATTTGTGGAAAAGGGGTGGTTGGTGGTAGAATCCTATTTTGTCCTGTATTTTGTTTTTGCAATATGTGTACTTAGTATTTTAAGTCATACGTATACAACATAACAGGAAACTGAATATGCTTATTGTTCTCCTAGTCAAATTTCTTCCAGAAAACATAGAAAGTTGGACCCCAAATTCCACACTAATAGATCTAATCATACTTCAAACGAAATTTAAATCAGTGGTCCAACTAGTCATTATTTTTCTATCCACCTCATATTTGAGATGTAAAAATCACGATCATCAAAATCTGTATCAAAATCACTAATCTATCCAAAATGTGTATTTAACTTACTTGTACTGTACACATCAAATTTTTTATTTAATAATAAATTGGCACCAAATCTATAGCTGGGTGCCAACAGATATTGCTATGTGACTCCTTGGCAAGTGAGCGCAAGGAGCCTTGTAGCAAAACTGATAGTAATCTCCAAGCAGATTTTTTTGTGGACAAAACACTACATTTGGTTATGGGCTGGCCAACTCTAGTGTCTTGCCTCCAAAGAAATTCCTTGGAAATTATAATCTACTATTGTGTTTTCAGGCTGTATTGAGTAGAGTGCAAAAGTTACCTTGTTTAAAGTAAAGTTCTGTATCGGTATAGCTGGTATAACTGCCCTTCAGTGTAACACACCAGCTTTACTGTTTATTATTAATAATAGTAACTGTCTGCTTAGCACATGATACACAGTTGTTATAGCAGACAAAGGGTTAAACACAAGAAGACATTTAAACACAGAGGCCAGCATGACCACAAAGTGCCATGACTTTGTACAGGAAAATATTGTATTGTACAGAGTATATATACAGTATAACTTAACGTTCAACATTATATAGTCACTGTTAAGGATATAGTTATAAGGTTTTAGGAAGTTTCGAAAAAAGCAGGGATTCATCTATTATGTGGTGTGTGTGTACAGTTGGGTGGTGAGTTAGTGGTGGGGGGGTGTCGACTTTCAACCTATTTTGTGCCTACCGTTGCCATGGTGATGGGTGGAATGTTAGATATTGCCTTATATGGAGACAGAGATGACACAGTGGGAAAGGTATAAGGAAACTGCCATTAGGATTTGAATACTGTCAGAAAAGATGACATCACTGCAGCAATATGTCTTTATAAACAACATAAACTAAATACAAAATGAATATTGAAGCAACTGGATAAAAACTGGATAAAAAAAGAGTCAGATGTTTCAGATAGTGTCTGCTATCTTTCAGTGACTGAGAATAGACTAAAGACAAGTGTGACTGGTATATAAATACAGATTCATTCTCATAATTTTATATTTGTCACTTATGAAAGATACAGCATACTGGATACTGGAGTTTTCTTTCACACAACCAAAATATCTCACCTATTAAAGTGCTGATGTTTTGGTGTCTATCAGACACCTTCCTCAGAGCTTCTGACTGGAGTTCTGCTTCTCGCCGCTATATGTAGCCGAATTGTAGGTGGCACTAATAGCTTTTGCATCAGCACTTAGGTGAGATATTTTGGTTGTGTAAAAGAAAACTCCTGTATCCTATGCTTTACCAACCTGATGAAACTATTTTCAGAAGGATAGTAGATGCTATTTGAAATGTCTGACTATTTAAAGAAATTTATCCAGTTGTTTAATTCAGTTGTATTACATAATGTTCTACCTGATGTCTAACATTGATGTATATATACTGTGCATCTATTGTATGTAAGTTTACGACACCAAAATCTAACTTTTTAAAGGTCCCATATCCAAATCCGTATGTAGGTATAAGTAAAAGTAGTGCAACCTTCATTAATTTGAGGGAAAGCAGTTGGTAGTCTTTAAAAAAAGTTAGAAAGTCCAGACTTTAAGCTTTGTTTCTAAGATGAAATGTAAAAGTATGGTAAACTAAAAGCAATCAAAATGTACCTGAAAGGACTAAACCCATATAATATTCAAGATAGGTAAATTAATAAGAAGACTTGCATTGGTATTTAGAAACGCATGTTCCAAATGAATTCGAAGTCTTTCATCCAACACTCTCTTCAACTTGTGAAGACAAAAATCACAGCAAACCCCTTCACTGTTCTTATATATCCAGGCACAAATTTGATAAGAAAGACATATAATGTAGATTATTGGGGGCAATTTAACCTGTTGATGATAAACTCTTTAAGAAACTTTAGAATTTGATAAAAAAGTTTATCTGAAAGATTTTTACTGTTGAACATGACTGTGAGACTATCGTACCACTTACGTTTAGAGAAAGACTGTATGAATATACATTGTACATGTACATGTGTAGCCTCCGTAGCAGGCTTATAGAACTGGGGGTTTGATGGTTTTCGGCTGTTTTCTGATTAGCCCAGTTCTAAAAAAACGGGGGTAATTCAACCAGGCCAGCTATGTTGTCTATATGCAATCAGAAAATAGCACATAAAAGCTCCCAAAGACCCTGAAGACCCCCAAAACCCCCAGTTTTTGGCATGCTATGGAGGCTAGTACATGTGTGCATCTCTACATTCAATTCCCATGGCATTATGTCATGTATCTACCTCAGAGAGGAATTCATATTGATGTGTCCTGGCCTTGATAGCAGGCTCTATGAGGTTGGGTTTTGGGGAGCTTTTTTCTTAGGCCACACACAAATTAACTTCCTTGGTTTCCGGACATTTTAAGGTGAAAATATAGCAATCCAATAGCCTGGGTGCCATCCTATTTGTATGCCGGAGCTCCCATACTTGCTCCCTAAGAAATATTGTATGGGAGCCCCGGCATACAAATTGGATGGTACCCAGGCTAGCAATCCCAGCATCACAAAAGCAAAGGACAGGGAGGAAAATTTGAATATGTTTATATTCACTCCATAAGACTGACTGTAGCAAGACAAACCTTGGGCTTAGGATTTGTTTTATTATTTTTTCCAGTTATAAGCAAATTCAATTTCAAATCTAAGAACCTAAAACAAGTTCAATTCGTTTAACCCTATAGAATGAGTCTTTTTTAAAATAGACTAGTTCAATGCAAGGCCCATGCAACCACTTCTCGGCATTGAACCAGAAAGATGAGAGAAACATGGCTATGTCAAGAGATGGTGGTGAATGTTTGATTTGAAAGTCTGTAGATTGTAGGTTGGCGGGAAAAGTTAAAATTGAAACAGAAATCAAGTACTGATCTCAACCTGATACACCCTCCTAAAAGTGTTATAAGCTCCCCAAAGCCTGACTCTTAGAGCCTGCCAAATTAGGTTTGGAGATACCAATGTAGAATTTAACTATGAGCCTATGTAAGCCTACATGTGCATCATTTGGCATGTCGATTCCTGTCTGTGCTAATCTAGAATAAGAATGTTGTTCGCATCATTTTGACTTTAATTTAACACAAGGCGTTGTCTACTTGTTTTGTTCTTCGAGATGCTTGTATTTATTTTTACTGCCAGGTCATTATTTCAGTCTTGTACCATGAAATGGGAAAATTTATCAAAATTCAAAATTTTATGTTTTATTTGGGATGTTTTGTTCTGACTTCAATGTAATTTATGCTGACGTTTGTAAATGTATTATATACTTAATTAAGCTTGTCTTTCTCCTAAATTTGAAGCTCTGCCAGTTTTCTTCAAATTTGTGTTTTGTTTTGGCAGTTTTGGTCATCATCATTTTACTCTGAGTTGATGTAATTTTTTGCAAATTCATGAATTATGTGTATGTAAATATAATATGCAATTTTGCTTCTTTGTGGAATGGAAAAGTTGTTAACTAGAAGCCCTGCCAATTTTCTTTCTACTCCAAACGATTTTTCCACACCAAAATTAATGGAAAAGTTAATTAGAATGTGTGATGGTGACATAACTTCTGACCAATGATTTCATCAGGCATCAAAGCTGAGTTATTGGTACCTAAGGGGGCTTAACATTTTAACATGTAACTGGTTTTAAGAGCTCAGGGGGCTTGTTATGTGAAGTTCACCTTTAGATACAGCATTGTTTTCAACTTATTGTTGGGTAAAAGTCAAATATGTACATTTTGAAGGGTTATATCAGCAATAAAAGGAGAAAAGAGTAAATGCGTGTGCTGGTGCTTTCAAAAGTAGTGAGTGCGTCATTTAGTCTGCATTTCATCATCATTTAGGTCTTTTATTAAATTTACAAAATTAAGGTAACCGTTATGAATGGATTTGAATCAGAAAGTACTTTTCCAAAGCCTTCCATATCGTTTCATAGCCTCAAAATGATACAACGGTGTAAAAGCGCCGCCTAACGGAATAAATGTAGAATGCAGTATGAGTAACATTCCTATGGCGGTTATGCACGGTATTCATAAAGCGCCGCTCAGTGGCGGATGAAGGTACTGCAACCACGGGCCTCCATCTCCCAACGTCACAACCGGACTGCACCTGACCGTGACACGGTCTCAATTTAGCGCCGCCCAGTGTCGGCTGCAGGTACTGCAGCCACTTAACTTTCTCCACCGCCACAATCAGGCTGTTCTGATCTACTTATTCATTCTCATCTACCGTCAAAGTCAACACGCACCTAACCGTTAGGCGGACATAACTTGTACTATTTGGGTAATCAAGGAATAAAAAAAGACGACCGAAAGTTAACCTGTTTACCACCAGTCAGCGAAACTACGTAGCCACTGCTCGTTTTGCGGAGTCGTAGTCTCACGTAGTCGAGTTTATTTGCGGGAAAATGTGACGCTAAACGGCGGACTCACTCCTCTGGCCATGTGGACCATATTTTGGCCGAATTCTACTATCTGAAATCCCCATAAAAAGGCCTGTTGGAGGCTACGATTTGTGGAAGGTTTTCCAGTCACGGTCAGGAGGAAAGTGGGTGCAGTACCTTCAACCGCCACTGAGCGGCGCTAAATTGAGACCGTGTCGCGGTCAGGTGCAGTCCGATTGTGACGGTGGGAAGTGTAGGCCAGTGGGTGCAGTACCTTCAACCGCCACTGGGCGGCGCTAAATTAAGACCGTGGAGCGGTCAGGTGCAGCCCGTTTATAACGATAGATGGAGAAAAATGGAAGATATACAGTATAATACACTGAAGAGAATGCAGCGTGGCCATATAACAGGAAGCAAAAGGACTACTATGCTAATATGGACTGTTAGAAAAAGCGAAGTGTTGTGCAGTTATCTATGTTGTTGGATAAT